AACTGTCATTTACTCCTGGTTGCAGCTTATCTCTTTGCTGCATCCAACAAGCTCCGATGGGATTGCTTCCTAAGAGCTGCAGGGATTCACCAGGACATTAAAGGAAATGGGGAGCAGAGTACATGATTGATGAGGACAGGAATGGTTCTGTCTTAAAATGTCAGATTGCTCCAAACCTGCCATTTTCTGCAAGGGAATGTATAATCCCAATGGGCTGGCTGTCAAGCATCATTGGCTGCTGCATCAGTAGATACTCCCTGCTTTTCCACTTCTACATAGTAAGATTTATTGGTAATTGCAGTAGATTATAGGAAAACAAATTCAGCATGATAGGGAGTCTAGGCAAGAGATATATTGGTTTAAAGGGATGTTTTCAAAACAATAGAGGTGTAGAGTTTCTGATCTGTCAATAAGGCAGTTTTTATTAAAGGTCAATGATGATAAAATATTTAAGGTTGGTTAAATGACATTCCTCTGTGAAAATCTGGAGAATCGCTGCTCAGAAGGACAGCATACTTTTATTTCAAGGTGAGGGGAAAACACGGAGGGCAGAAAATGATAAATGATTTTGAATGCCTGAAAATGGAAAACCAAAACCAGAAAAATGAGAGAAAATGAAGGGATGGAAGAAATAAAATAAAATTGGGAAGACATCCAATAAACAACTCCTGGGTGAATAAACATTTTTCAGGGTGTTTCACCAAATACTTTCACAACTTTTTAAATCTCTGATATGATACTGATATTGTCCCAATGCCATAGCAGCATGTTTTTCCTTTCCCACTGTACAGCATGGTCCAGTGGACTTCATAATATGGGTCATATTGTAAGCCGTACCCAACAAATGATGGAGGGCTGGACGATTCTAGTTCCTAAGGGATGATATCGTGCAACATTTTGATTCCTCCTCGGTCTGGTACACCTGAATTAGGAGCTGAATTACGTCCTCAGCTTGTGGTCAGTGTCTCCAGAGTCCTCTCAATCATCAATAACCATATTGAGGCCCCGTCCACACGAAGTCAAAACGAACACGAAACGCTAATATTTTCCAGAACGTTTGTCATAAAGACGGAGACGTAAAATAAATGTGATCGTCCACACGAATCCATGAAAACGCTGGAAAATGTATGCCAGGCCTATAAGTTGCGCTGTGGTGCCAAAGCAAAAATAGGTGACGAAATGTTGGGCATGCGCACTAATATTTATACATGGTTGCCCTGCGGGTCCATTTTCGTGGTTCAGTCAAATTCAGGTGCTGAACTATGTCGTCGATATTGCTCTGTTCTTCCTGGAGATATTCCAGAAGAAGAAGATTCTGTTGTAAGCCCGACAGCAGGGTGAGTAGCATGAGCAGCACACAGTACGGCACCATTGTTGTTGTGATACTGTGTCGCGCATGCGTGTTTAGAGGCGAAAAAAAAAATGCGGTTAGAGCTTAAAGATGGAAACGCGAAAACGGCGTTTCAAAATCTTCCCACTCTGAAGGCTTAATAAAAAAAAGATCGTTTACAGACCCCCGAAACGCCGGCTTCGTCTGGATGAGAGGCTGGTTTGGTGAAAAATTTGTGCGTTTAGGCCAGGGTTCGGCTTCGTGTGGACGGGGCCTTAGAAGTGTTCTACCAAGGACAGATGTAAAAGTTGCAGGATACTGGCCCTCAGGAACTGGAATCACCCACCTCTGTCATAGCGGGCATCATGGATAAATCGAAACTTGCATAGTCATATTTTATGCCGTTACAAAAAAAAAGGGAAAAACATTTTAAGCTTGATGTTAATTGATGTTAATTTCATCAATGTCCTATATGCTTTAGGTCAGGCATGCCCAAAGTCTGTCCTGCAGGTTATAGAGTAGAGATGGGGGATCTGGAGACAACAAGTCATTTTAGTACTGCCAGCAGAGGGCGTCTTGTTTATTTATGTCAGCTCATGTAGGCCGGTGCTGAGGTTCTATTATGGCTCAAAAAGTACAATCAAAACACTTGCATATAGCCTTTTTTATTATAACCAATTGGATTCTGGTCTTTTCTGTTGAGACATATAATCCAACTATATACCTTTAAGGGGTTAAACTATTGATATTGCCCAAGAGAATTATATATATTATTTTCTGTATTCAGTGAAAACACAAACAGGTCTATATTCTTGTGGTCAGGCATACCCAAAGCTGGTCCTGGAGTGCAGCTTTCCTGCAGGTTATAGAGTAGATATGGGGGATCTGGAGTCAACAAGTCATCTCTATGTCATGTTTTTGTTCTGCCCAGCCACTGAACCAGGTGAGTGAAATCTACAAAGAATAAACCAGATTGGACTCACCTGGTTCTGTGCTTGAAAAGAACAAAAACATGACATAGAGATGACTTGTTGACCCCAGATCCCCCATCTCTGTTATAGAGCGTTCCCTGATTTTCATTGATAGCTGATTAACAGGCTTTTGCTGAACTGCAATCATCCGCATCAGCTCTGCTAAATCAAATGAAAATAGATCCTCAAGGTAAGAATCAATCAATCAATCAATCCATTAAATAATTAGCACTCAGACTGTAGAAACTAAGTGCAGCATTGCTCCCAGCAGTGTCAGTGCTAATAAGGACATATGCATCCATTACCTTAGCAGCAACACCTGAATGCCTCAGCAGCTTTAGCTTCCTCTTCAGCCAACACTAACATCCAGTATTTCCAGCTCTATTGGAGTTTTCTTCTCTTGGAATCAAATATCTTTTAGTGGTTTTTTTTTTCCAACACTGAATCTCGGATGTTTGTTTATTAATTTTACAGCTTCGCTGGGAGAGAGGTTCTAACTGGCTTACCTACATTTCTACTTTTTAATCCCCTGCAAACACGTGTAGTATTGCATCGTACATTAGGAGCTTTATTTATGAATTAGTGTAGTTTGATCATCGTGATCTGGACCCAGAAATTTGTACAGAGTTAGAGCATTGAAAAAAACGAAAATTAAAAACAATCCACTGGATTTTTTTTCCAAGTATGAAGACGTTTCACTTCTCATCCAGGAAGATTTTTCAATTCAAAATGTCAGGAATAGCGTTGAGTTCGCGGTTTTATACAGTAGCTCATCAAAACCTTGTTTTTAGTTTGAAAACATGAAAATAGAAACAGGCGACGGAGTCCACCCCTTTGGAATGGGGGTCGTTTGGCTTCTTTTGTTAGCCTGTAACAACCCATACCTGTCTATGTGCCAGTTAGAATAGGCGAGGTCTTCCCCTCTCCTGTACAGGGGCTGGGGCTGCGAAGAGTGGACCAGTTCTTAAAAATACTTCCTTCCCTCCTCCTTCATCTATCTGTTAACTTGATTCTTTAAGCTCAGTTTTGAAAGAATGTCTAGAAGGGAAACTTTTTCACTGATTTAGAATTCCAAAGTTTGGCAGGGTTACAGTAAATGCATTGGTCTATTAGTATAATTTACAACCTGCCAGGCAGACTTCCAGTTAAAGGAACCATAATTAGAACTAAAGCTGTTAAATAAATCCTAATCAGAGAAGTAGATCCCTGAACAGGATAGATATCCTCTTGGTGAGACTTAATTATTGGTGTAAATATGTTGTAAATCACCATATTTCAGCAAATATCAGAAATGATATCAAACCGACACTGAATAAACCATCCATAGTTTCATCAGATGTATGTGAATAGAACTAGTTTGCAGGGAATCTGGACCCACAAATCAGGTGTGACCTCTAAGAAAATAACAATGGTGTGTTTGTGACACATAAATACATATAAGAAGATTTGCTTACATACAGGTAGATTAAATATAAAATTAATACAGGGGCGGTGGTTCTACAGGTGGAAGAGGACCCCCCCCCTGCTGTAGAGCCTTGCTCCCCCCAACTTTTATGTCATGAAATACTTGTAATTGTCTCGATAAAAAGTAAATTACTGAAAAAATGTATACTATACTACGATATATATATTTTTATGTTATACAATATACAAAATGTACAAGTTAGCTGCCATGAAAACAAGATTTATAAATAGATGTGCTTGTGGGACCTTTGTGACATGATAATGTCCCATTTGTTGTTGCTGCAGACTTCTCTCCCCAATAATTGGCTCGTTTTTCCAAACCTCGATGCGTACACGTTGCAAATCAAAATGAAAATTACATTCAAATTAAAAAGAAAATTCTAGTTTCTTTGACGAAAAAACAATAGTGATGAGTGATCACCGCAGTAGTAAGAACAGATTAGAGGAAGAAGGAATTATTTTTCTTGGTTAACCGTCACCTAAAAGTTGAAATTTTTGGTAGAAGATGTATTTGATGTTTTGTTAAGTAGGGTTGTTTTCTCTGGTACAGGGTTATTAGAGTAAAGGTCATTAGATATACAGGTATAGAGGGAATTTTGTTCCATTATTGTTGCCAGCAAAGAACACATTTTTTAAATATAAATCTGTAAAAAAAACATGAATTGAAATTTGAAAAATAAATCATACCAGTTATGAAACTTTAAAAATCAATCTTCTCATAAGTGTCAGGTTTAGTGGACGTTAGAACAGGACCAAAATGCAGAGATGAGGAGGCAGAAATGATTTCTTGCAGATTTAATTTTGAGGTGGATGATAACAGAAGCACTAATCCAGAAATAATAAACAGGTGGACACCAGGAGACACCAGGGATTTTCAATATGAACAACAGATATTTGAATATATAAAATTTAAAAAGATAAAATCTGTAAAGAAATGAAATAGACAATACAAATCATTTGAAATATTAAAATCTGAGATCTTATTTCAATAAAAAAAAATGTTTTCATAGTCATTTCTGGATTGCATTTTTTTCACATTTCAATTTATAAAATGTTCTCTGCTTACATTAATAATGGAATAAAATTCACTCCATATAAATACTTTATTTTTACATAATCATTTGTCTTTTTATTGCTTTCCTTCATCTTTATGTCGTATTTATGCAGTTTGAATTAGTATCGTCACATGATGTGAAAATGTTTAAGGGGTTTAAACACTTTCTTTCTCTTTGCAGAAAAAGAGCAGAGAGGAGAGCTGTGGTGAGGGCAGCGGAGTAGAGATCCTGGAGAACAAACCTTACGAGGATGGCCCTGGAGGCTCGGGTCAGTACACTCACAAAGTCTATCACATCGGCAAACACATCCCCTCCTGGTTCTGTGCCATTCTGCCTCAAGCCGCTCTTCGTGTGGAGGAAGAGTCCTGGAACGCCTATCCCTATACAAGAACCCGGTAAGAAAGCAGCATGGCATTATCACAAACACATACATCACAGTAAAACACAACAAAACATTCACTTGGTGCCAAAATAAACACAAGATTCACCTCAAGTTTTCACCTCAGCAGTAAAATCCTCTTTGTAGCTTTTTTTATTATTATATGTCTCTCAGAGATCACTCAATATTCCAAATGGATTTTCTTTTCCCATAATGATTATCGCCTCAAGTTTGCTCAGATGATTCCTAAGTCCTAGTTCAGCCCCCTAATAATCTAATTATGGAGAATCAAATTCAGCAAAATCTATTAAGAATATAATATGTTGAGGAAAGACTGGATTGCATCCCATTTCCACTTTCCTGTTCCATTTTCATGCTGATGGCAGAACAAGACTACTAAATAACAGAGCAGGGAGATTATGGAGTTATTAAGGGCACACAAACAAACGATAGGAAACCAGACCAACCAACGTTCCTCCATCTGGACCCATGGCCTAAATTTTTTTAACTTGCATGCTGGGTTGATGACAGGAGAGAATTGGGAGAGTAGGATAGGTGGATGCTGAGTTTGTTTCTGAATTGAATCTGTTAAAGAATGATTTCAGTAAATCTGTCTGATCATCTTTCTGCTTGAAGCCAGTGATCTTCTTCCTTCTTGACCTCACATCAGCCTTTTCCTGTATGCCTCCTTCCTTTCTCTCATGTTGACCTTAAGTTTCTTCTGTATGCTCCTCATGACTTCCCTGCCTCCCTTCTTGATACTTAATAGCTTAGGTGGTTTGAGAGGGGCGTAAAGGAAGCCATCTATGTTAGTAAAGAAAGACGGACCTTAAACAGAGGAGGTGGACTCAGGTTTCAGCTTTTAAAAACCTACAATGCAGCAACTGAGTTAATCATTATCATCGAAGCCCCAGCCCCTGTACAGGAGAGCCAAGGACCTGGCCTATTCAGCCAGGCCAACAATTCACTCTAACGACCCCCCTTTCAGACACTTAGGCAGGTATGGGGTATTGCAGGATAACAAAAGAAGCCAAACGACCTCCATTTCAAAGGGGTGGACCATTTCGTCTGTTTCAATTTGCATGTTTTAAAAACAAAAACAAGGGTTTGTTGAGCCACCGTCTAAAACCTCAAACTCAACATTATTCCTGACATTTTGAATTGAAAAAGCTTCTTGGATGGGAAGCGAAACGTCTTCAAACTTTTAGGAGTTTAATGGTGCATTCCAATCTGTAGCCTCAAAACAACCTTGCAGGTCTTCTTCAACCTCCTGTGACCATCTTCTTAAAGTTATGTTTAATGCAGGTTGTCTCTTATAAAATGGCTTATATAAAAACAACATTGGGATCTGATTGGGAGCTGGATCAGAGCTTGTCTGCCTGGCTGTGTGTTTCCTGGATGGAGCCGCCTTTGACAGTTGCTTTTCCTATGTCTGCTTCTGTCTCCTTGAACCCCAGTCGGCCTCGGCAGATGGCCGCTCACACTGAGCCTGGTTCTGCTGGAGGTTTCCTCCTGTTAAAAGGGAGTTTTTTCCTCTCCACTGTCGCTACAAGCATGCTTAGTGTGAGGGAATGCATTCTAGTCAATTAGTTGATGCAACTGGTTTTCCTTAGATAGAAAACTTTGAATCAATTTGACTGGATGATTTGGTGAACTGTAGAGATGACGTGTGTTGTGAATTGGCGCTATAGAAATAAAATTAACTGAATTGAATTGAATTTCCCAAGAGGAGGTCTTACTTCAGAGATGCATGAGTCCTTGACATTCGCATTAAAACAAGTCAAAATTTTGTTTTGTCTGGTACAGCAGCTGTAAAACTGCTGCAAAGTTGACAGTATAGCAGAAAAAAGAGGCATGATTAAAATCACAAGTTATTGCCACAAATGCATTTGGCTGAAGACGACTGGTAAAAGTTCTCTTAAAAAAGAATACCAGACTCAAGCTAGCAGAGCTAACATGCAGTCATCTTTGGTAGCGCAATTCTAGAACATTTTATTAGTGCTACCTAGGGTTGTCAAAAGTATCGATACTCAAAAAAGTATCGATACTGAAATGTTGTATCCGGATACAATACTCATTTTCAAAAGTATCGAGTACCAGTGGCACCTAAACAGTCATTCATCTAAAGTGCAGAATAGAGGAAAATGCACTTTCAGAACACTGTGTGATTGAATAATTCTGCACACTTTTCAGTTTCAGACTTTTTTTGTAAGAGGTGCAGCTGCTGAGAATTATTTTTGTTTCTTTACCGGTTTGGCTAGTGTCATTGTTATGTGTGCAAAGCATAGCCAAGGAAGGAACACTTAATTTTAATTTTGTAAGTTTTTTTTATCAAGCTTGCTAAATACGGTGCATAGCAAACAACCTTAAAATGTTGTTCTTATTGTTTATTGTATTTATTTATTTATTGTATTTTAATTCTTAATCAAAGTATTTCTGTTGAAATTTAGAAATTTTATCCTTGTGGTATCGAAAATGGTATCGAGTATCGAATATTTTCCTTAGTATCGGTATCGAGTTGAAAAATTTGGTATCGTGACAACCCTAGTGCTACCTTTTTTAAACTTCAATCAAATGCAATGTAAAGACAGTACTGTAATAGTGGACTGCAGTTTTTATAGCAGCTAACAGTTAGCTACTCATGATATTCTCTTACTGCTTGAAAATTATTTTTATAAACTGTATCACTGTTAGTTTTCTTTTCTATACTGAATACCCCAAAAGCTGTCAGATTAGCCATTTTCAAGTGGTAAAGACTTTCTGAATTTTCAACAGAGCATTAATGACCAGCTGGATGAGCAGTTTTATTAGCCAGCTGTGATATCTGAGAACAAAATAAAAGTTTGCACTTTATTTTAAGACCCAAAGGCCGTTTCCCAATATGTGTACTTGTACGTTCTCGTGTACTCGTGAAACGTCATCGGCCTCAGCCCTAGTACTGTTCTAATTCACAAGAACAGCAGACAGAGAACAAAGTCACCGGATGTTGTTCTCGCCCCTCCCTCTTTACCCAGCATGCATCAGAGCAGACATACCCTTTCTTGAGATTGACAGCTGTCCCAGCATGCACTGCTGCAGCAGCAGCTTGCAATGGAGCGCTCACAGAGCTCAGAGTATTAAGTTAAAAGTTCTCTTTTCTGTTGCTCTTGTTCAATAAAAGTATGTTTTTGTCATAATCTGGCCTGTTTGGTCCCCATTAATTGGTTATTTCTTTCACCTGCCGTTTTCCCTCCCTGCCTCAATTATAATTTACTCCTCTCACCTGTGTCCTCTGGGTTGTATTCAGTTCAGCCTGAGCATTCAGTTCCAGATCATTATTTGTTCTCAGTTAGTCGTTCTGTTCAGTCTTTTGATTTCAAGGTTCATGTCCTGGATTTTGGCGGCAAGTGGAAAGAGGGCTTTGTGTTTGTCTCATCTCCTGATTGTCCACTGTTCCTCCCCCGCGGAGTCCTTTGGGTTTTTGGCTCTATATGTGGGGAGGTTCAGTTTTTATCCCAGTAAGCCTGGCTCCAGGGAGGAGAACAGTTTAAAGTTCCTGCATCAAGTTCTGGAATATTAACATTGGGAAGACAGAAAGTGATAAAAATAAACCCTCTAAATAATTTAATTTTAAAAAGATGAACTATGTAAAAATTATTTCAGGTATTAAGTAACCAAAAGTACATGAATTAATCCTGATATCAAGTTCAGCTTTAAGATGATTCTCACAGAGTGGATGAGGGGATAGAAGAGAGTCGCCCTTCTTTCTCCTACTGCAGGTTTGCTGCTGACACTAACTGCCTGTCTGAGCTTTGGAAGAGCAGCCCTCACTGCTAAGGAGAAAACCGTAAACTATTTGGCTTTTTATGTCATTACCAAAGTTGCTATTTATTCATTTTTTAAATAAAGTCACTAGATGGGTTTGAAAAGTCCCTAAATATAGTCACATAGTTGCTGAATGGGCAGCAGTACATGAGAAGAAATGTAAGTTAATGGCATCCAGTATATATGGAAGAAGTATCAACAACAAACAGATCTCAGTTATAAATAGACATATAATCCAATCAACCCAGTCCTGGACAGATTTAGACCCACCCATTGCAATTCTAGCCTAATTCAGATGCAATGTAATCCAGCTCACTGTATTACGCCAAATGGTAATTTGATCCAAGGAAATCGTGGGCATTATCCTTTTTTTTTGTTTTTTTTCTTATCCTTGTTTATTTACTGAAAAAAATTACGACGCAGTATTATGGGCAGGCCTGAGATTTTTTCTTCTTCTATTTCGAGAATGAATTCATAACATTACGAGAATGAAGTCATAACATTGAATGTGTGAATAAAGTAGTAAAATTACGAGCTTAAAGGCGCAATGCAAAAAGTCATAAAATTACATGAATAAAGTTGTAACATTATGAGAATAACGACGTAAAATATGGCAATAAAGTCGTAAAATGATGACAATAAAGTCGTAAAATTATGAGAATAAAATTGTAAAATTACAAGAATAGAGTCGTAAAATTCCGAGAATAAAGTCGTAATACTATGAGAAAAAAGTCACAAAAAGAACAGTCTTAAAATTACAAGAATAAAGTCATAAAATTACGAGAAGAAAGTCGTAATATTACAAGAAAAAAGTCACAAAAAGAACAGTCATAAAATTACAAGAATAAAGTCGTAACATTACGAAAATAATTTAGTAAAATATGGCAATAAAGTCGTAAAATGATGACAATAAAGTCGTAAAATTATGAGAATAAAATTGTAAAATTACAAGAATAGTCGTAAAATATTGAGAATAAAGTCGTAATACTATGAGAAAAAAGTCACAAAAAGAACAGTCTTAAAATTACAAGAATAAAGTCATAAAATTGCGAGAAGAAAGTCGTAATATTACAAGAAAAAAGTCACAAAAAGAACAGTCATAAAATTACAAGAATAAAGTTGTAACGTTACGAAAATAATGTAGTAAAATATGGCAATAAAGTCGTAAAATGATGACAATAAAGTCGTAAAATTATGACAATAAAGTCGTAAAATTATGAGAATAAAATTGTAAAATTACAAGAATAGAGTCGTAAAATTCCGAGAATAAAGTCGTAATACTATGAGAAAAAAGTCACAAAAAGAACAGTCTTAAAATTACAAGAAGAAAGTCGTAATATCACAAGGAAAAAGTCATAAAATTACCAGAATAAAGTTATAATGTTAGGAGATTAAAGTCCTAAAATTACAAGAAGTATTTTATAACAACTGTTACAAGAAGTTAGTTCCCTAAAATGAGGAATATCGAGCATCATATGAACTTATACTTTGGCTCTGTTTTGACAAATCAGGAAATCTTTCAGCACCAGCATCAAATTGGGCAGAAGGTCAAAGTGGACTCAGGTTGCTGATTAGTGGAGCTGGTCGGCCGTTATCTGCTGGTCGGAGCTCGAAGGTTCCTTTCAGAATCGGGTTGCAAACAACTTTTTTTTCTCGTAATGTTACGACTTTATTCTCATAATAATAAAAAAAAAATCTAACCTGGCCCTAATACTAGTAAAAAAAAAGAGAACACATCACAGAAGTAAAACAGTTTTTTAGGTCTTAAACAGATATGCTGATGATGGTTGAGGAACTCATAAGAAGAACAAACAGAGAAACCTTGGTTTGTATTTGACAGTTTATTATTGCGATTTGTTTCCATCCTAATAGACTCTTCTTCTTCTGTCCCAGGTACACCTGCCCATTTGTTGAGAAATTCTCCATAGACATAGAGACGTATTATAAACCAGACACTGGAAATCAAGAGGATGTCTTTAATCTATCCTCTGCTGAAAAGAGGCAGAGGACTATCGGTAAGTTTGTTTATGAATCTAAACGCACATTCTCTAGGTCATTACTCTTCAATTGTGCCTTTGGGATCCTCTGTTTGATTTTCATTTCCTAATAAGCAGAAATCAGATTTGTGCAGCAGTATTTGCAGTGGAAGCTGCTGTAGCACACATTCATACAGCTTGTGGAGTGTAAGAGCTTGTGTTGAGGAGCTGCATACTAAAATTCACTGGGGAGCAGAATAAATGTTGAGTCTGCTTGTGATACCTTCCTGCAGGGTCTGATTACATAAGAGGAAAGCACATAAAAAAAATCACAAATTTTTCTTCTTGAAAATCTTTATCTGTTATTCTTATCTGCAGCTCAGATCAGCCTCTGCCTAACAATCCATTGTGTTTTCCCAAAATCAAGATCCTATAGACATCGTCAAGGACTACATACCTCCCAATGAATACCTGGTGGAAGAAGACCCTAAACTCTACCAGTCAGTTAAAACCAGACGGGGGCCGCTGAATGAGGACTGGATCGAGGAGATCAACCAGAATCCTGATCAGACTATCGTCATGTGTGCCTACAAGCTCTGTAAAGTAGAGTTCAGATACTGGGGTATGCAGTCCAAGATCGAACGCTTCATACATGATGTAGGTGAGTACGTCTGTACTGGTGATAGAGGGTTGGAGGTCATCTTCTGAGTCCAGATTCAGACATATGGAGTACATTTTGCTCCATTTGTTGCAAACACAGAGCAGGTTTTACAGATGGAAACTTTAGAAAATACAACTCTGAAATAAAACATTGAAAGGTTTTTTAATCGAACAAAGTTTGAGATTTTACAGGGAAAATCTACTGGGTGTGGGCTCAAGGGTGTAACTTTGTTATGAAAGTTGGTGGGGACACTCTAAGGGGGACCTGCAGTTACTCGACCCAAAATACTTTCATTAGATTTTTGTATTTTCCAAAAATGAGCTCAAACGTATATTTATTGAATGCTTTCCTACTGTTGAGAACACAATGGTACAATAATACAATGATACAAATACAAATCATGCATCCCTAGAATGTACAATTTCAATTCCATCCATAAAAATATGGATATTCTGCATTTTAATTATAGCATAGCATATTTTTTCTTTTAAACTTTCTGGTAAACTTGGAGATATATTTTATTGCATATCCCAGTAAATCTGTTTCACGTTTAAATCTGTCTCTCTACTTCTCTCTGTGCTCTGTTTAAGAAAAGATTTATGAACCTCTTTACTAATATATCGATGCCAGAAACAACATTTCAAGATATGTAGAAGCTCTGCAGTCTGATTCTGTCTGTGCAATAAGAAAACATGTTCATTTTAACCTGTAACTGGAAGCCATGGTCCTCTGAGAAGCCCAACTTTTTTTTAACCAGTAAAGAAGAACAAACTATGTTTTCTCAAGCTTCTTGCATTATAATACTAAGTTGTGTAAACTTACAATCTGTTGCCATTTTTAGCTAAAAAAAACTCTGTATGTCTAACAAACAGATTTTTCTGTGGCATCTCTTATCTTTTAACCAACCCGTCCCCTAACTTTTATTTAAACTTCGACGTAGCTGCCGGTTAATTCACTGAGTGCTGCTGTGTGTCGCATTTCAGATGTCTCAAAACGACAGATTACACTGAGAGGAGCTACACGGGAGCAGCAGTAGAGAGAAAAAAAAGAAATATTGCTATATGTCATCGTTATGCTACGAAATCCCACGAAAATTCACGACATGTTGCCATATTTTTATATGTTGATATATTGACGCGGTATCGATCTATTTTACTAACAAAATCTCACAAGAATTTGCAAAATATCACGAGAATTTGTAACAGAACGATGAAATTTCACGAGAATTTGAAAGTAAAATAGATCGATACCGCGTTTTTAAAAATCTATTTGATATCAGCATATGAAAATATATTTGAGTATATTATTTTTCAAAGTGTCAGAAATGGATAATAAAACTGCTATTTTCAATGACTACTTATTTTTGTCCAGCTTTAACATCGGTATCGATATCGGTTATCTGCTAAATGAGTTTTAAAATATCGGCATATCGGATATCGGCCAAAATCCCAATATCGTGCATCCCTATTAAAACACAGATAGCTGCACTCTGTTACCTTTGGCTAAAGTAAAGCGGAGAGGGGAAATAAAGCGTAAATTATTGGTGGGGACACGTTCACACCAATCCTTCAGAAAGTTACGCCTGTGTCTGGGCTTTCCTCTGGAGTGAGAAGTGAAGATATATTTCTCTTGGTCTGCATGGTTGTTAGCAATAAAATTGTACAAGAAAACATTGAATCAATTTGACTGTATGACCTGGTTGAACTGTAAAGTGCCTTGAGATGACTTGTGTTGACGCTATATAAATAAACTGAATTTAATTGAATTATAGGTCAATGTTCTCTTTAAAAAACAGAGTTTGCATTCTACTTGAATTCAAGAAAATGTGATCTATTATACAGAATGCAATGCACAAAACCCAGTCCGAAGCATAGAAATTGAAATAAATATATATAAATAAATTTGTAAACATGCCCGTGTAAATTCTCATTCATCTAGGTCATTGCAGCCAAAAAGCAGGCTCATATTGGAAGTCAACCAAACAACCCAAAAAAAAAAAAAAGAAATTTATGAAAAAGCATAAACAAATCTTATAAATTTGAGAAAACAGAAAAATTACTCTTCAAACTTTTTTTTTTTATTTAAGAAGTTTTTAAAAGGTTTATTGTTAGATGGAGTTTTTCTTTTTTTTTCTGAACTCCCTTTGTACGATGAAGTATTAGTAGTTGGGCCAGCCCAGAGATTTTTTTTCCTATCACGAGAATAAAATCATAAAATTACAAGAATAAAGTCGCAATGAGAATAGTCATAAAATTAAGAGAATAAAATCGTAAAATTTATGAGAATAAAGTCGTAACATCATTAGAGTAAAGTTGTAAAAATTGAGAATAAAGTCATAAAAATTATGAGAAGAAAGTCGTAAAATTACGGGAATAAAGTCCTAAAATTACGAGAATAAAGTCAACATTATGAGAATTGAGTCGTAACTTTATAAAAATAAAGTTGTAAAAATTATGAGAATAAAGTCAAAACATTACGAGATTAGACATTTGCACATTATCTGTTTTTGTCATGATTTATTTATAAGATCTGACCCACATGCAGAAAACCAAACAGAGAGACCAGGGGAAGCTTTAACAGGTTTATTATGAACTGGTAGAGAAGGGTCCAGTGCTGCTACATTCTTAAATAGTATTTGGTCAGTTCTAGGATGAGAAACTAGAAAACTGTAAGAGAATATCCTCTCTTCTTCGTATTCTCTAACTAAATAAATTTATTCATTTAACAGTGGGATTAGCCATATTAATAAACAATGATTGCTGATGATGTGATGCACAAAAGTTAATGCTAATTTCCATCTAATATTCTGCTACAAACATTTTTAACAACAAATTATATTGATGTGATGAATTTCTGTTTCAGGTCTGCGTAAAGTGATGGTCCGAGCCCACCGGCAAGCGTGGTGCTGGCAGGACGAGTGGTATGGTCTCACCATCGAAGACATCCGGCAGCTCGAGCTGGAAACCCAGTTAGCTTTGGCCAAGAAGATGGCCCAGTACAGCCTCAGTGAGGAGGGCGGGGCAGAGACCAATGGCTCGTCTGCAGGCCAGGAGCAGGAACAGGCAGGAGATAACCTGGGGTTGGCTGCAGAGGCCGAGGGAACACGAGGAAAGCTTGGAGACTCTCTGGAAACACGAGGGGAGCTCACCAAGCAGTGGTCCACGTCTTCTAGATCGTCCAACAGGTCATCAAAGAGAGGAAGTTAGTTCATCTCCCTACGTTTTATCCTGCTTCCAGATTTTTTACTCCTTTTTTTAAATTAATTTTATCTAATTAATTACATATGGGGCCAAAATGGTAGCTTTAATATTTGCACATGTGTGTGGAGAGTTGTGTGTCTGTATCTCGATTTGTGCGTGTGCAGGGGGATTTGAAAATGTGTAAATAAATCTGTAAATGTGTGAGGAGATTTATGTGTCTGTACAACAATCTGCAAATGTTTAAAACTACTTGTGTGTAATCCGTTTTGCAAATGTGTAAAAAATCCACAAATCTGTAGATCAATCTGTAAGCACACACAGAGACACTTGTGTCTGAAGTATTTTCGCTTCAAGACCCAGAAATACAGACAAATCATTAGTTACAAGTCAAGCGGTTTTTCGGTTGGCTCTCTTTACACACGTGATTTTTGCTACTCTTCTGCCGCGTGAGATGCACAAATGCTTAGAAGGATTTGTATGTGTATTTTCGCGATTTGTAACCCCTTGCGCAGGCTCGCAGGCTCACATGCTGCCCTGACCACAGGCTCACAGACAGCCTCTCTCTGCTGCGACAGTTCAGCACAACTTGCTTCACATAAAGCTACCATTTTGGCCCCATAATTACAGTATAACCAAGACTTGCTCCTTGGTGAAAACGGCTAATTGAAATAACCCTGTTATGTTTGCAGCAAGTCCGTCTCACCAAAGCATTTCAGAGTGGAGGATGCAGAGCATTGCTCGGGATTCTGACGACAGCACTGATGATGAGTTCTTCGATGCTCACGGTAAACATCACTATAAAAGCAGCATCTGCACTAAGCTGTCGTATCAGTTTTCAGGATCTAGAGAAGAAATTCACTGCAAAAAATAGAAATCTAAAAAAGTCATTTTTTTCTTAAAATGAGTGCATTTTTTCTTGAATTTAGGAGGTTAGTTAGAAACATTGCCAATGGAACAAGATAATTTACATTTAAAATAAGAAAAAACATTGCATTGTCTTATTACAGTGCATATTATCTAATTATCTTATTATAAGAGTAAAAATACTCATTCCATTGGCAAATCATCCCATTTACATACTCAAATTAAGGGTAAATACACTTGATTGAATAAATGTTTTACTTTTTTCTAGATCATTTTTGTAGTGTAGAGGTGTGGGATATCAATTAACATTGATATTTTATAAATAATTAAATTGAAACATCCTAAACTGAAAGCAGGAGGGAGCTACTCATTACTAATTATGGTAATTCTAATTGAAGTGGAAGTTTGCAAGTTGTGTGTGTTTGTGATGCATGCCCTTAGAGGGGCTTTTTGATGCTTGTTTCAAAGTGGAAAATTACTCTTTTTATGTTTCTCAGAAGATGCTCCTTAGTTTCCATAAATTAGGTCTCTGCTCACAGAAGCACCTTGAAGCAGGCTGCAGTTTTTTGTTTTTTTTACCACCTTTTTTAAGTTTGCCCAAAGCAGACTGTACAACACTGATTCCAATATTGATGAACTACTATAGAAAAAGTTGAAGAATATAATCCCTTCCCATGAGTATGAATTAAATACGTTTTCTTTCTTTTTTCAGTTTTAGGAACTTCAGGCAAGGTAGAATAAAATTAGTAAACTTCTGTGCACATTTTTCAAAGGGTTGTTCTGCACATAAAAGCAGGCAGGTCTCAGATCGTGGATGGACTGTAAATAAAACTTAAATTGCACACATTGAAATGCCAAACACCACAAAAAAGGAATGCTAGGTGTTTAATATTGTGCATAATAATTGTGCATATTTGTTAATTGAAAGGAAAGTGAAAGATGCTTCCGAAGAAATATTATTAAAAAGGAATGAAAAAATAAACTGCTTTAGAATCTTACCCCTGAATAAAAAAAACAGCCTCTGCTGCAGCAAAATTAGTAATTTTTAATTAAATTCAATGTTATTTAAGCATTTCTATTAAATCCATGTATCATTTATTTACTCTATTTTTTTAATTCGAAACTAACAATGAAAATACGGGTATAATCTTTTTTTTTTCCTATCGTTTCATGTTTCTGGTGTACAAAGGAGTTTTAGTGCTAGGTTAGAGATTTTTTTTTGTTATTTTGAGAATAAAGTGATAACATTCATAAATGTAGTGATTAAACTGCATTGAATATGTTCAATGTATGCTGCGCATTAATCCCATCCGCTCTGGAGAAGCAGGATGCTGCATGTCAGTCTGAAATGTCAGTCTAAGGGGCGGGTGGTGCAGCAGGCTGCTCGATGCTGATTGGCAAACATTAAGGATTTTTGACTGACAGCTTCCAGACGGCGAGGAGGTTTTCCTCACGAGTCGAGAAGGAAAAGTGATAATTTATTTAGAACTCATGCTGTGGCTTTTGAAGTTATTTCTAAATGCCTTAAAACAGCTATTCTCACCCCTTGTAGAAATCTGTTATGTGTTTTTAAACATTTCAATCTAAAAAACTCACATGAAGAAAAAAGAAATTTGGAATTTATTGATACAATTACTTTGTCCTTGGCGCTCAGACCTCGGCAGGAAACATAGCGCTGTATTTTTATAGATATGCATGAACAGGTCTAAAGAATAGGATTGTTTCCTCCCCAGGCCTGAAACTGGTGTTGGAGTGGAGATAGATGAAGTTGGTCAGTCTGTAGACTGCTGGTTAGCGAGATGGTCTGCTGAGCTTTATGGGGAGATCCAGTGGACTGCGTGAGCTGATACTAGAGCTTCACTCAGGGACCTGGAAGATGGAAGTCCAGTTGGATAACACATGTTGAGAGAACCTGTCCATGATGAGCAAGCATGAAGTGACAGTGGAAAGGAAAAACTCCCCATTGGGAAGAAACCTCTGGCAGAACCAGGCTCAACATTGTGGTCTTCTGCCAGACCGGTTGAGATGAGACAGGGAACACAGTAGAAGTCTGGGAGGAATTAAACTTTGATGAAGCTTTAGCTACGATGGTGGAGGAGAGGCTGGAGGTGGGATGAAACGGTGTCATCTGAATGAAGTCAGACAGCGCATCCGCAGCCTGCGCACTACGAGCAGACAAGTGCGGATCGGAGGCCTTTTAAGATGAGCTTTGGATGCTGATTGGCTTTCATGGAGACGTGTTTCAAAGCTGATTGGCTGTGTCGCAGGTGGATGTAGGAGATAAATGAGTTTCTTCAGTTGAACTTCTGCCTAGGCTCCATTTGTTAATGTAATATGTGACGTTTCGATTTAATTAAAACCATTGAGCCTCCCATTTTTTAAAAGAGAGCTGCAGCCACCACTGCCAAGCAATTCTAACATTATTAACTAAATAACTGTATTGCTCTTGCGGTGGTAAGAGTTGAATTTAAAGTAAATCTAAATGTATCCAAAAGAAAATTAACCGCAATCTACATAAAACATAGATTTTGTGTTACATGCAAGCTATTGCTGATGTTTTGCAGAGGACCTTTCTGATAACGAGGAGATGTTTTCCAAGGAAATCACCAAGTGGAGCTCTAATGATCTCATGGACAAGATAGAAACAATAGAAGTGGATGAATCACAAGGTGAATGACCATCAGAGTTGATATGATGCTACGTTCACACCGCAAGCAGCAGAAGCAGCAAAAACGCGCATAATGCTTAATTTTTCATACTTGTACAAGTTTAGTTCTGACACGCGGCTGAAGCATCTTTGCTGCTCTAGCTGTGTGGTGGAAAATGGGTCCGACGCACGTTGAGCGGAGCTACCCTATCCTTTCTTTGCCTGTAGCAATGGCAGCCAAATTTACTGTGATCAGTGGGTAAAAAGTAGTTCTAATGTTTTTAAGTGAGAAAGTCCACCAGAAAAATGTATCTGTGCAGTCAATTCATCCAGAATATCATCCTGCCTTCAAATATTATCTTGCTGTTGGAGCCGCTCAGACCCCCGTACATCGGCAGTGCTCTGTCACTGGGAATCCCGTTCAACAGCAGCCTCTGGCCTGGTCGCCTCCTAACGGTTTGCCGCTACTGTTGGCGCCAGTGTAGGTACCAGATCTGCTTGGGGCCCCACCCCTTCTTATGGCATCAACATATGGCAATTCCACTCGGACAAACTATATTACACCCGTTTCTTAAGAATCGAATCTCCTTTGGTGTCTCAACATATTATTACCTATATTTGCTATTATTTTACATTTCTTTGGCGATCTAATGTAGCTGAAAGTAGAAAACAATCATTCTCAGTCTTGAAGGAAAGTACTGCTTTCTAAGACTGAGCTCTGCCTTTTAACAAGGTGATAATAAAAAAAGAATAAAAATAAGCTGAGACTTTTTTTAAGATCTGAGGGCATGAAGGAAATCTTTAAAAAAAATTACTTTCGTAGAGATTTTAGGCAAATAAAACAGTAATTCTACTTGTAGAAAACGAACGGTTGTTGTTGATACAAATTCAAAAGTAGTGTAGCGTTAAATGGCTAACTGCGCTAAAAGACGCTAGCCTGTTAGCCACTCAGCACAGCCAACTACAGCGCTACCAGCTCTCAGACAGAATCAGACATACTTTAATAATCCCAGAGGGGAATTACTCCCCCTTTACACTACTGCCTTGAGTTACCCTTTTCACCAAAAACAGTTTTTTTTTCAGTTTTGTTATCGATCAGGTAAAACTTTATCGGTCATCAGAAACTTTAACCCTACAGATGCTCCCGACTCTGCACACTGATTTTATTATCATTGTCTGGGCAACCACAACGTTTTACACCATGTGGCAACTTTCAGCCAATCATGTAGCGTAACGTCACTGGCATGCCCAGGACCCGAGCAGATCTGGTACCTACACCTGCTGGAAGTAGCTTTTAGCGTTTTTCATATACATAATCCAAACTGCAAGCACCAGGATAATAAAAGCGAACATATTTTGCCGGCAGGTTTCAGCATTTTAAGTTAATTTAGACGTTAATAAACTGTTTCAGAGGAGTGATCACAGCGCTCTGCATCAGCAGCGCTGTGTCTGACTCCCTGCCAGCTCCCAGATCAGCTTCTCTGATTGGTTGATGTGGTGCGTGGAGCAGCAAAAGTAAATTTTTTCCAACTCCAGTTGCTTCAAAAGCAGCAGCTGTTGTTGTTTCTCAGAAGCTCGTGAGGCGCTGCTTCAGCTGCTCAAAACGCGCTGCAGGACCTTTTGCTGCGCCTTGATGAACGTCAACCATTGACTTTGCATGTAAACCAGCTGCTTCTGCTGCCTCTGCTGCTTTAGATGTGAACGTAGAATAACTGCTGTATTCTGATGCCATAAATGATTAATATCTGAGCTCATTACTGTTCTAACAGAATCCTATCAGGAGTCTACTGATGAGTACAGCATCACAGAGGACACCCAGATGGAGGTAACGTTCCTTCAGTATTTTCTTACTTCAGTTTATGCTTTTAAATCGATGCATCATAAAGGGCTGGTAGGCAAAGTCTCTTTCAAATCTACATTAAAAAAAAGATTCATCCCCAGCTGCAGACTACAGCTATGTTTAGTGTTTCTCCAAAAATAGAAAGTAAAATCCTGCCTCCTGACTGTTTACTGCTGACAGGGTAAAGCCTCAGTCCATTTTTAGGTTCTGAGGTTTTAGACCAATGTGATCAGAGGAGCGTGAAAGTCTGCAGGCAGTCCACAGATATAAATATAGGAAGGATTTTTAGCTATAGGAAACTGATCTATAGCAAGTGCTTGAAGTAAAGAATCTGAACATGCTGGTTTAAGAAGAATGTAAATAATATTTGCGATAAAGTGATACTAGACTGTGTGGAGTATAATTACCCCGTAATGTTTGCATCTATGATAAATTTAATACATGTACGATGATGTGACTTAGTCAAACATCATAAATTAAATTTTCAAAATATGGATTCGGATTAGCTGTGTTTGTCAGATTAAAAGTATCCTTCTAAATTTACAAAATCAGGCTTTTTATAAAGTCAATTTTTTTCGATTTCAATTTTTTTTTTATTTGACTGGTTTAATTTAAATTATATTTTATTAGCTGGGAGCAGAAAAAAAATAATCACAAGTAAAATAAATAAAAGATTGAGGATATTTATCTGTGTAATGATGTGCACTGTGTGTTGTACTTTGTTGAAAATGTTAATCAAATAACTGAATCCTTGAAAATACATTTATATTAATTGAATATGGCAGAGAAAAAAGTCAGAATTCTTGCTGTCACTTGTTATTTGAGATGTGCTTTTTTAACTTCTTTATTTTAAAAATGTTTTGTTACATTAAACCTTCTTAGCTCTTCTCACCGTCTTACCTTCTTAATCCTCATTTCACTAATATTTAATTGTGTATACCATTAGTTTCTAATATTCTTTGTCATTGCATCCATTTCCCTTTTGTATCAATCAGAGTCTATATTTAAATTTCTTTATACATTTTCCTGCAGCTGTGTGTATCTTTCTGTACCACCTTCATTTTGCCTTGACTTACCTCTCAGATCCCTCATTAAATTTGATTTTATAACTGCTCACAGCGCATGAAAAATTACGGGTTGTATGGGTTTAGATAACAGCCATTAAAATGTATGTTTAGATGTCTGGATTTGTACATTAAAATCAATTATATATATATATATATAAAAAAGGATTTTTATTTGTTCCTCGTCAACAATGAGGAACAAACAGATGTTTTATTTGTAAGAATTTGTCAGAAGTCATAAAAAGTTACAACGCTGCAGCAACAGAAATACAAATCTATGAACACAGATCACTAATATAAGACTTTAATTTTTACTTGTTAATTCGTTATTGGTGTTGGTCGATTGTTTTTGACTTTTACTCGTAAATGTAGTAGTTGTAGCTAGACATTTTTTATATTCACCTGTGAATTTCTGATTTATACTCATGTGAGTTGTACTTTAAAAAGGTTTTAGTGTTCATACATTTGAGATTTGCATTATTTTCTATTCAGAATTTTGTATTTGTACATTTGGAATTTGTGTTTGTATTTTACAAAGTTGTAATAAATGTATTTAAATTAATTACATTATTTACTTTAATCTGCAAATTCTGACGTGTATGTAGATGTTTTATTTGACACTTATCTTACCCCATATACACAGTATGGTTTAAACTTGAGTACATGTGATGCTATGAGATGTGGGATATTCATTTATGGCTTTTCCTTTAAATATATGCTCCATCAGTTCTTTTTAACCTCCCCTTATTTTCCCCTCCTCCCCCGTATCTCCCCTTCAATTGTCTGCAGGACCCGTCCCAGCAGTGTCCCCAGCCGTCCAAAATCCATGTCCTTATTCTGGTCCTGCATGGTGGTAACATACTGGACACAGGCTCTGGTACAGCAGTGTATTGATTTAAAACCATTTGTTTTCTCAAACCAAAGATTAAAACTGTTGTTTTGTAATGCATCAGTTATGCCTTATTGGAACATCTGATCTATTTGAACTTAAATAAACACCAGCAAAGGGTAACAGAAGAGATGAAGATCCGAGCTCAGTACCTATGTTTGTTTATGGAAAATTCTTTTATGGACTTCATCTAGTTTAATAGGCAAAATGATGGTTGTTTAAACAAAGCTTACATAAAGTGTAATAAAGACAAATAAAACCACAAATGACAGATAAATTACTAAATCATAAGATTAGTTAATGTAAAGAATAATACTCGACAAAACGTCCATCATCATAAATTCATTGAGGTGTTTCCACCATCCATTACGCTTAGATTACTTCGTCCATTCATCTCTGATAATGATATTATCCTGCTTATACCATAGTCACTTACAAAATAATTTATTATTGAATCAATTATGAATACTTTAATGTTTTTTTTTAAACCATAATAGTCTGAAGTTTTTCACAAGAGTTGGCTGAGTGTACTTGTGGCTCGATGCCAATGTAACGGGCACTGGCCAAAGCATTAATGTTAAGTGTCATGTCTGGAACTTTTTTAAAAGGTGTCCTATAACACTTTTTAAAGGAAAAGTCTGGTCAGCAAGAACAAATCAATGGATCATTATTTATACCTAAAACAAATACATTTGCTGTGATTTAATTAATTTAGCATCACGGTCTGGTAGCGGCCATTTTTGCCCAAATATAGTAACACGTCCCTCCTGACATCTTCCGGCAGTGACGTCACGGTGCGGTAAGCCTAGCGCCATTCTCCCCGCTTTACAAGCAAAATCAACGGGAACTACTAGACACATCTGCAATCAACAACAATTATTGAAGATTTCCAGAGGACTTCACCATTGAAATTCACCAGAGCTATAGTGAAACTGACAATGCCCACGTGCATGGCAGCTGGATGGTGTAATACATCAAGTAAAAGTGAAAAAAAAAAGAAGTTATTTTTCCTTTCCGATTCATGACGGTTTAATCGTTGGATCGCCAACTTGAAAAGGGAGGATTTGCCATCGAACTTCTGGCCAGAGAAAAAACCCGTAATATGTAGCCAACATTTGGAAGAAGAATGTTTTCAAGATGACTTGGATAATAGCGCGTTGTGACAAACACCAGATACAGCACTGGGACTTGATCAACAGCCGATACCGCACCGTGACGTCACAAACCAGTAGGTGGCAGTAGTGTTCTTTGACAAACATTGATGTGTCCAGTGAAGCACATTCAAATGAAAATTACTCTTAATTAAAAACACTGATCATTTATTGAACAATGTGTAATTTTATATTTAAAGTACTTTCGCTAGTTTGAATTCTGAATATGACGGACTTCTCCTTTAATGGATGCCCTGCAGCCAATCAGAATTGAGTATTCACCCAGACCAGGGAATAATATTTTCCATAATTTGAGGAACAATTAATATAATCTTCCTGCCCCACGGCAGCTGTGGCTACAATGATTAACACTAGCGTGTATTTTTAAAGTTGAGGGCAGAGATCTAAAACCTAGTAAAATACTTTTGAAACATTCATTAAATTAGGTTTTGCCTTTCTTAGCAGGCTGAACTCTTTTAAACATTCTCCTATTTGTCTGCAGGCGAACAGAACAATAAACAGGGAGACGTGAACACGCTGAGTGGAGCTTTTGAGACAGTAATGAGGGTCCACTATCCTACTGCTCTTGGGCGCATCGCCATCCGGATGGTCCCCTGTCCTGCTATTTGTGTTGAAGCTTTTTCTCTTGTCTCCAAGTGAGTCATGAGTATTTTGATAGCACACTGTAGAACATCTTAATTCCTGTGTGAAAAAAACTAAAGTGGCCCGCCTACGTGATCTGTAGTTTAAGTCCCTACAGCTACGACGAGAGCTGCCTGTCCAGCAGCCAGGACCACATCCCGCTGGCTGCTCTGCCTCTCCTGGCTACCTCTGCGCCGCAGTACCAAGACGCTGTGGCAGCAGTTATCCTCAGAGCCAATCAGGTTTACAGTGACTTCATCAAGTCTCCTGAGGGAGCATCTTTCAGTGGCCAGGTCAGTCTGTGGTAGTGTTCAGGGATTTGACTTAAATACATGAATAAATCAGTTTGAATTGTGAAGTTATTATGTTTGGTTTTGTGTTGACTCACAGGTTTGTGTGATTGGGGACTGTGTGGGAGGGATCCTGGGGTTCGATGCTCTTTGCAGCAGCTCTGTGACGGTGTCAGAAAGCCAGAACAGCAGCAGACGGGGCAGCGCCATTAGCGTCCAGGTAAACCTCTAATCTCTCTGACACTAACTTCCCTAACTGGCAGCTTTGGTCTGTTCTATTGGGTAAAAGTATGTTTTTTGTTTAGAATAAAAAAACATTTATTTTGAGATCATGCAAAGCATCAATCTACCAGAAAGTTCTAGCATTTAGAACCAGATAGTCCCAGCTTCCAGTGACATAAAAACACTGATCTCTATTTATTCACTGGATTGCTGATTGACTGAAGTCAATTTCACGGAGTCATGCCATAAAAATGCCTGTAATATTGTGATGGATTTGTATATGTTATATTACATGATTTATAGACTTCATACTGACTATGCAATGTGATGTACTTTTTTTATTTTTTTTACATAAATTACAGTAATGTACTGATGATATGAAATGGAAAGTGTGTCAAACTGATGGCTTTACCTTTGGTTTAAAAGTCTTAAGCCCCCCTGAAGATGAGAACATTACCATTGTTCAATGCTGTAGCGCACACATTGTTTACATTCCGACAATTCTAATTAGGGAGTACCAATATGGTGGCTGGTGACTTCACAGAACCATGTACTACCAACGGCCTATCAGCAATGCAGTGCTTACATAGAGATCAGTGGTTAATAATGTCTAGGAGATTAACATGTTATCTAAACATAACTACGAGTCTTCCGGCCAGGAAGTGGCATACTTGCCTGGTCAGAAGGTAAGTTAGATAAAGATATTTTCTTCTAAACACTAATTGAGAATAAAACTCTTTTTTAAATAGCGGCAACATACAGGTATAAAAAACAACCAAATCAAGGTTAAACCTCCTGTTGGAGTTTGAAAGAGGAAACAGTGACATCTAGTGGTTACTCTGCAAAAAATAGAAAACTAAATAAGTCAGATTCTTAAAATAAGTGCATTTTGTCTTAAACTGAGGAGGTAAGTGAGACACTTTGCCAATGGAACAAGACAATTGACATTTAAAATAAGAAAAAAAATTACAAGCACATATGATCTAATTATCTTATTTTATGAGTAAACATGTTCAATCCATTGGCAAATCATCATAATTACATTCTAAAATTAAGGGTAAATAAACTTGATTTAAGAAAATTGTACTTATTTCTAGATCGATTTTTTTTTTAGTGTAGAAAACTGTAAGGCTAGGTATTACCTTCTCCAAATCAAAAAACTTTTAGACTTAGACTTTACTGTGTTTCATGTTTAAGATAAATTAAATATATCTAGTTTGGGGCTGTTGAATTAAAAGAAATATAAGAAAAGTCTTTAAAAGGTTTAATAATATCACTGACAATCATAGAGATCACCATATGTAAATATTGAGTCACTGTTTGTTGTCCAGTTTTATAGCTCTAGTATATAACCTGTTACATATGTTTCCTTATAACAGTGATTGTTCCAATTAAACCATCACTTCGTATATCAGACAAACTGAATCTCTCCTGTGTTAAATAAATTATTTATATTATTGTGGTTCGATGGATTTTAAATGTCTTTGCTGCTCTTTCCACACACACAGATACCTTTGTTCTCTCACTTGTTTTTGAATTTCTTTTTATATTGGTGACATCATATGTTGTATTTCAGATCTTTTAGTCAATTTCATGTTGTTAGACAGGCACTATTTAGCAGATTGTTTTGCCTTTTTTTTCTTCAAATATTTGACAGTAATCAGGCCCAAATGTAGCTCGTGAAAATGGATGACAGAAAAAGATTTAAAAAATGTGTGTTTTAATGCTTACTGCACTTTTCTTCATCAAACCTCAGTTCAATACTGAAATAGTAATGTGTCCATCAGTTATTAGATATATCAAACTAATGTATGCTGTTGCAAACACCCAAATATTTTAAAATAAAAATAATTAAGATTAATAGGGGTGCCCAAAGTTTTTCATATGACTGCATATATATATGGAATAAAAATAACTGAAAAGCTGAGCCAAAAAAATAATAATATTTTGAGTCTATATTATAATCTTTGATAACTTGTGAGATATGAGATAATGTTAACACCCAGATTAAAATTTAGTTTGGAAGGAAAAGGTTTTTTTGGAGATATATGAGATGGTGACCTTGAAATTTAAATTCTTATTTCAAAGATAAGTCGAATTAGCAGTTAGCTTCTTTATTTGGTCTTTTAAAACATGTATCTTTTTAGTAATTTTTGTTGCTCTCTGAAACTTTGTGATGTTATAATGCAAAGGTTATTTTTTTTTGTTGAAGGCCCTCATGAATCTCAATGTGTTCTTGCTGCTTGCATTGCCGATAAAACGGCATATAGTAGAAAACAAAGATTTAAAATTAAAGACATTAGGTTGAAGCATCTCTCTAGGAAAAAGCTGATAAAGCATACAAAAATAGAGTACAACTCATTTATTTTTCTTTCCATCTTTAATTCTCAGGACACAGAACTCCTTTCTCCTGGAATTATCATAAACAGCATCTCCCCATCCCTCGAAGGAAGCCGCCATCTTAGCCGCAGCAACATAGACATCCCGCGCAGCTCAGGGCCGGACGACCCCAAGAAACAGCTTCCACGCAAGCGTAGCGACTCTTCCACGTATGAGCTGGACACCATCAAACAACACCAAGCCTTCCTCTCCAGGTGAACTAGAGAGAAGCACAAATTATCTGAGGAACTGTAGAGTCCCGCTCATGTCTGCTTTCCCCGTTTCTCTGTGAGCAGCCTGCACTCTAGTGTTCTCCATGGGGAACCCGGATCACGGCGCTCCAGTAACAGCACCATGCTGGAGGGGGGCTCCTTGGGAAAGTTTGACTTTGAAGTAACCGACTTCTTCCTGTTCGGCTCTCCGCTGGGGCTGGTGCTTGCGCTGAGAAAGACTGTGGTCCCCTCCTTAGATGGTGAGAAAGGCTGTTTATTTTATATTAGATGCTCTTTGATTGGCTGAAGCAGAGAGGAGGGCTTAGCTCCATGTGGAGCAGCTGGGAAGCAGGTGTCAGAGGTCGGAGGTCATATTCCCTGATTCCCTGACAGAATTATATACGTGAGAGATGAGCTCAAACGGCATCCGTCACACTCTGCTGTTCTCTCTTGGGATTTTGATGTTAAAAGGATTTCTCCTGCAGCTGTTTGAACAGATTTCTAATTACATCCATCAGTTTAAAGAATATTTGGACGCTTACTTTATTTCTACATGGAATTTCATAGGAAGAAAATCAGGAAAACATTGGTCTCATTCCAGAGACGTCTGAGACATAAACATTAACCATAAAACATTCAGTTAATGCCTTAAAAAAGTATTTTATGGAGTCAGAAAGGGGTCAAAATGTTTGTAAACGTATAAATGTTACTTGAAACTGAAAAAAAAAAAAGTTGAAACTGAAAAAAATTGGGATATTGAATTTCAAATTTTTACCTTGTCTGAGAAATTAAAAAAGAAAACATAAAATAATAAGAATCTAATCTAAATTCTTCCGCTCAGCTTAAAAAAACTCATAACTTAGTTTAGTATTTAACATACTTGTTCCTCTTTTTATTTATTTTCTTTATTGCAGCTTTAGATTTTCAGATTCAAATTCCTTTCAGTTTCTTTTTTTTTTTTTAGTTCCATTTTCAGTTTCAGGAATTTATTTTATTTTTTTTCAGTTTTTCTCACATTCAGATTTTGACCCCAATCTGATGGGATTGGGCGGGGAAACGTGATTAACAGCTTCCAGCAGGAGAGATGGCGTTATATTTAGATCAATGACTGATGACAGGTGTAAATGAAAGCTCCGTGTTTACACCTTTACACTTTCTCTACCTGATTCTCTTGAGAAGCGATCACTTGGAACAACCACTTTAAAAACACTTTATAATGCATGCAGCATGTACAGGTTCTTCTGAAAATATTAGCATATTGTGATAAAGTTCATTATTTTCCATAATGTAATGATAAAGCTTGAACATTCATATATTTTAGATTCATTGCACTCTAACTGAAATATTTCAGGTCTTTTATTGTCTTAATACGGATGATTTTGGCATACAGAAAATGAAAGCTTAAAATTCCTATCTCATAAAATGTGCATATTTCATCCGACCAATAAAAGAAAAGTGTTCTTAATGCAAAAAAGTCAACCTTGGAATAATTTTGTACAGTTATGCACTCAATACTTGGTTGGGAATCGTTTTGCAGAAATGACTGCTTCAATGCGGCGTGGCATGGAGGCAATCAGCCTGTGGGGCTGCTGAGGTGTTATGGAGGCCCAGGATGCTTCCATAGCGTTTAGCCTTTAGCTCATCCACAGTGTTGGGTCTTGCGTCTCTCAACTTTCTCTTCACAATATCCCAAATATTCTCTATAGGGTTCAGGTCGGGAGAGTTGGCGGGCCAATTGAGCACAGTGATACCATGGTCAGTAAACCATTTACCAGTGGTTTTGGCACTGTGAGCAGGTGCCAGGTCGTGCTGAAAAAGGAAATCTTCATCTCCATGAAGCTTCTCAGCAGATGGAAGCATGAAGTGCTCCAAAATCTCCTGATAGCTGCATTGACTCTGCCCTTGATAAAACACAGTGGATCAACACCAGCAGCTGACATGGCGCCCCAGACCATCACTGACTGTGGGTAGATGACACTGGACTTCTGGCATTTTGGCATTTCCTTCTCCCCAGTCTTCCTCCAGACTCTGACACCTTGATTTCCAAATGACATGTAAAACTGAGCAACAGTCCAGAGCTGCTTCTCTGTAGCCCAGGTCAGGCGCCTCTGCCGCTGTTTCTGGTTCAAAAGTGGCTTGACCATGTGGCACCTGTAGCCCATTTCCTGCTAGATGTTTCTGGATGTTTCTACTCCAGACTCAGTCCACTGCTTCCACAGGTCCCCCAAGGTCTGGAATCGGCCCTCTTCCACAATCTTCCTCAGGGTCCGGTCACCTCTTCTCATTGTGCAGCGTTTTCTGCCACGCTTTTTCCTTCCCACAGACGTGCTTTGATACAGCACTCTGGGAACAGCCTATTGGTTCAGAAATATCTTTCTGTGTCATACCCTCTTGCTTGAGGGTGTCAGTGATGGCCTTCTGGACAGCAGTCAGGTCTGCAGTCTTACCCTTGATTGGGGTTTTGAGTGATGAACCAGGCTGGGAGTTTTAAAAGCCTCAGGAATCTTTTGCAGGTGTTTAGTTTGTTGATTCAGATGATTAGGTGCATAGAGACCTTTTTCATGATATGCTAATTTTGTGAGCTGTATGCCAAAATCATCCGTATTAAGATAATAAAAGACCTGAAATATTTCAGTTACTGTGCAACGAATCTAAAAATATATGAATGTTCAAGTTTTATCATTACATTATGAAAAAATATTGTACATGTATCACAATATGCTAATGTTTTGAGAAGGACTTGTATTAAATGACTGATGACAACAGATTTAACAGAAATTTTAATCTTTCTCTGACAAGAGAAATGGCTTCAGAAAGTCAGGCCCAGACTAACAGTTAAAGAACTATTTTTTACATCTCCAGGGTCACATCCTACCACATCATCACATCTCACATCATTACATCATAAACATCTGTAAATGAGGAGACATTGCTGGCCCGAGCCACATCAAGATAACAGAGTGTTTTTAGATCAAGGACAATCCAATGCACAACGCCAAAGCTCTCTGTTAAGAATCTTTCACTCTTTATGCTCCCATTTTGTTCCCAAATCCTGTTACGTACATAAGGAAGATGATTTTTATCCTGAGAGAAGAATTGTCCTGATTGGTTTAACTGCTTGGGAAAACAGTAGCCTTAACACATAACAGACAGGTAATATTAAAGAAATAGTACACCCAAAACATGATTAGCCTTCATTTTCTACTCACCCCCATGCTGAACAACACTCTGGAGTACTTTTTTGATATCTCAAATGCATCTGGAGATCTGGGAGGCTTCTTGCTGTCTGCTGACATTCAAATAATGGAGGTCTATGGCGCCCGAGACAGAAAGGTCCATAAAAGTCCACAAAAAACGTGTCAATATTCCTCCATACTGCTCGTCCAATGTATTCCAAGTGTCCTGAGTGGGTAGCATCCAGAATTTACTCGAAACGAAGTCATTTAGAATGTTTTTAGAGCATAAACAGTAGTGTATAGGATTTCCTGAAAGCGCGTTCATGACGCTACAGAAACCGCGGCAGACCAAACCAGATGAAAGTGCGCATTCAGCTCGGCAAAGAACTCATGCTCTTCCTCAACACTGAAGTCCTCAGACATTTTTCTTTCGTTGTTTCTTTCTTTGCACAGGTAAACGGCACATTTCTTCTTCTACGCTTGCATTATCAGCAGAGCAGACGCTGAATGCGCACTTTCATCTGGTTTGGTCTGTCGCGGTTTCCGTAGACTCGTGAACGCGCTTTCAGGAAATCCTATACACTACTGTTTATGCTCTAAAAACATTCTAAATAACTTCGTTTCGAGTAAATTCTGGATGGAATACTGGGAGTAGAAAATGAAGGCTAGTCATGTTTTGGGTGTACTATTCCTTTAAGGTTTAACTAGAAATTACATGGATTATAAAAAAGAATCCTAACAGATGATATATGTAATAGTAGAGCTAATTGGTTCTAATTTGGTGGCTGCAAATGTCAAACTGATCTGTCTTCTTTCTTGCTGTTCCAGTGTCGGCTCTACGGCCAGCCTGTCAGCAGGTTTACAACCTGTTTCATCCAGCAGACCCCTCAGCCTCCCGCCTCGAGCCTCTCCTTGAAAAGAGATTTCACCTGTTGCCTCCTCTCAGCATCCCGCGCTACCAGCGCTTTCCTCTGGGCGATGGACTCTCAGCTCTTCTAGGTTTGCCTGCAAAAATGCCGAAACTATTCATGGCAACGCTGTTCTCTTTAACTTATAGTAAAAGTTTGACTTTTTTAAAATTAATTTACCCCTTTGGTTTTCTAGTTGACACTGTGCAGAGTAACCCACAGCTTCTGATGGAGTCAGGGGGTGCAGCTTCGCTCCGCTGCCATGAGAGCCCTACCAGCGAGACCTCCATCCTTGTTCCAGTCCTGAACTCACAGACCTCTCTGGTCCACGCTGAGGGTACTTTATCAGTCCTGCTTTGCTTTGCGCTCACATAGCAAATTTTTAAGTATCACTGTGTAACTTAACCCAAGTATTAGCCCAATTTGAGACTTGGTCGTATCGTATCCTTAAACATGGATACACATCTATAAAAAATATTACTCTTAAAATCCCCACAAGTTTTCCTTTCCAGCTCTCCCAATATCTCGCTGCACTGCTCTGACAGACGGCTTCTGTGAAAATCGTTCTGATATTAGATTTATTTAAGGCTGTAGAAGTCAGCTTTGGGCGATCTGTTAGCTTCAGCTTCCAGGACCAGCTAATCTCAATAAAGATGCCAACCTTTCAATGCAGCCTGTTTCAAATATTTGAAGTACGCCTTCAAAATCTCCAGATTTTAAGTGACACTTTGCATACAGACCCTGTTACCTCTAGGGAAAAGAAAAAGCTTAAAACATTGAAGGTTGATCAATCAAACAGTCTTTATTCTCTCTTCTTCTCTGTTTCAGCAGCTGATACTCTCCAGTCCAATTTATATGCTGATGGTCTGTGCCCAGCTTCCACATCGCCAGGTGTTCCTCATCTTCGCTGCAGTCGCAGGGCCAGCGAGGCCAGCATAGCCAGCCAGGTGTCTGGCCTAGCCGACTCTTACACAGCTAACAACATCGCCACCAGTAAGTTCCCTTCCTAAGCCCCCCTGACTGTCCGGATCTCGCAGTTTAAGCGCTGACCCTCTCGTTTCCTCCCCTCATACGACCCCCCCACCGCCTCCAGCGGACAAACATGAAGAGAGCCACACAAAAAGGCCCAGCCTGCTGTCACAGCTGCATCTGCCTCATAATAGATTTGCCTCACGGAGGGCAACGTTTCGCTTGCACAACAAAATCCGTCGGGTGTTCCCGAGAGCTAACGGTGTGGAATCTGAGCATAGCTCAGATCTTAGCTCTGACGTGACCTCTGACATCACTGATGTCACATCTGACATCACAGACATCAGCTCGGTGCCCCCTTCGCCCAGGCTGCTGAAGCACATAGAGCAAGGTACCCTGGGAGTTGTAGTTAGAGGATGTGAGTGAGGGTTTGCTGTGGAACTGTAGGAGCTGTCCTCATTGCCCAACTTCTGGCCTGTTCCGACCTCAGATAATCTTCCTCTGTAGTCCTGAAATGGTGTCAAAAATAATCCTTTTTTCAGACAAAAATTCTGGCTTACCAGAAAACCAAGAACATGCAAGTTTCAAACCCTTCAAGTGTGACACATCCCTTTCTGTTTGCTCGATAGACCCTCTTAGTGAAACCCCCTCTTCTGCTTTAGACATAGAATCCATCTAAAGACATCTCTATATACATAGAAGCACTGATTGTCTCTACTTACCTCTGATTGCTGTAGTTGCCTCACGCTGGTGGGGGAGTAAGCGCATGGACTACGCTCTCTACTGCCCAGATGCTCTGACAGCGTTCCCGACCGTGGCTCTGCCTCATCTCTTCCACGCCTCCTACTGGGAGTCCACAGATGTTGTTTCATTCCTGCTCCGACAGGTTTGTGTCCCTCTGCTCTCTCTGCTTTTTCTCATAGTAGCTTCATCTGGTCTCTTCCTATTTGGCTATAACACCATCCTGGAGTGAAATATCAGCTGTGCTGCTGCCATCAACACCTTTGTAGATTTTGGAGCTTGGCCTGTTTTTCAGTGTATTCCTGTTTCTCTGAATGTGACTGGTTGGATTTGCTCTCTTTGTCCTCTTACATGGGAGTTGGCTCTGAGCTCGGCTGCCTGGCTGTGTTTCCTGGACGGGGCCGCCTGTGGAGCTGGTTGACAGTTGCCTTTAGTTTCTCTGCTTCTTTTTCTTTCTGCTTCTGTCTCCTTGAACCCCAGTCGGCCTCAGCAGATGGCCGCTCACACTAAGCCTGGCTGCTGGAGGTTTCTTCCCGTTAAAAGGGAGTTTTTCCTCTCCACTGTCGCTACAAGCATGCTTAGTGTGAGGGATTGCCGTCAATGAGTCGATCCAATCAACTGGTTTGCCTTAGATAGAAAACTTTGTATCAATCTGACTATATAATCTGGTGAACAGTAAAGTGCCTTGAGGTGACGTGTTGTAAATTGGTGCTATAGAAATGAACCTAATTGAGTTGAATTACTGTGAAGTGAATTACTGTGATGGACTTAAGGCTCAGTTATGCTTGAAACATTTACGTTCTGCCTAGAAATAAGACTTGCAGACACAACAACTGCAGCTTTTATACTAACATCAGAACCTAACCTGTAGAGGTAGAAAATGAGGTCATTTTTTAAAGTGACAGAAAGTCTACGTTGATGTTAGCAGCAATATTTTTATGGGTCAATGCGTGCGTTAAGAGTGAGCGTTTGTTTCAGGCTGGAAGTGAAGAGAATGATTAAAAAAAAATGTTAAAAAAAAAATTACAATGCACTAGACTTTGTTTTCAAGTTTGAAGACGTTTCTCTTCCCATCCAGGAAGCTTTTTCAATTTAAAATGTCAGGAATAGCATTGAGTTCGAGGTTTTATACAGTAGCCCATTGAAGCCTTGCTTTTATTTTGAAAACATGCAAATTGGAACAGAGAATGTACTCCATTAATTTAGCCATAAACCCCGTCTGTTTGCTGTTAAAACGTTTCTTTTTTTAGGTTGAAGCCAAAATGAAAACCAAATCCTATTGGCGTGTTGTTCACTAGATCAGCAAATAAAGATGTTTATTTTTGGGTATGCAGGTGACTCAGTGGTTAGCGTGCACGACCCACGTATAGAGGCCTTAATCCTCACACGCCCGACCCAGGTTTAAATCCAACCTGTGGTCTTTTGCCGCATGTCTCCACCCCCGTTCTCATACCCCCTTTCCTGTCAGCCTGCTTTTAAAAAAAAAACCAGTCAGTTTCTCTTAAATATTTCTTTTAAGGTTCGTCTTTGGTTTCTCCTTTGGTGCTTTAGGTAATGAGACATGAGAACTCAAGTATTTTGGAGCTGGATGGGAAAGAAGTGTCCGAATTCACGCCCTCCAAACCTCGGGAGAAGTGGCTTCGTAAGAGGACTCACGTAAAAATACGGGTGAGAATTGCTTTTTTTTTTCTTCTTTTTTTTACACGTCTGAATTTCAGCAACAGAAAGTCTGTTGCAAGCGGAAACAAAATCAGATCTGGTCTCAGTCATTTTATTTAGTTTCAACTGTTCATCTACATGCTACTTATTAAATTAACAGCTATCACAACAACATCTAAAACTAATGAAGATTTATATTATTTAACTGATATATTCACCTAATACGTTTTCGACTACCACTGACTTTAACTTAAGGTGACCAGATTTCTGCAATCTAATCTGGGGACATTTCCAGCTCATAGATAAAAATAAATACATTGTATGAAAATTAAAATAGAAAATGGGGACAGTGAAGTTTTTATCCATTTTTACATATTTATTAATATTTAAATAAAAATCAAGTGTGAAATCCAGGAATGCGCCTCTCCCATTTCCTAATAATAATTAATCAATAGTTTTTTTTTTATTAGTGCCATTCAGTCTTCTCTTTCTTCTTCCCTTGTGAGCAACAGAACATTATGTTTAGGGACAGGCCAGTTTGCATCAATATAGAATCTGTGGGAATTTCCCTCTTTTCCATTACAAAAAATTTAAATGACATTTTTTATACATATACAAATTGAAAACATATTTTTTTTCCTACAAAATGATAATTATAAAATGAAATGGCCTCTAGTTGTTTATGCTGGAAGGTGCGGTGCATTAGGTCGCCTCCAGCAGCCTAGATTAAAAACTGTCACAATTAAAGGTTAGATTTTTATATTCAGGTTAAATTACAACCATTAAAACATATCTATAAATCTGGATCCTTCTCATGAGCAGCTTGAAGCAGCCACAACAAAAATACATGTTTTGTCATTACATGTAAAGATGAATGAAAAATAAGCTCTCAATGTGTCCTTTAATAACGTTATAGTGAAATCTAACAGGGATATATTTTCACAATCCTATCTTTAATTCATATATACAGCTGGGCTTTTTGTTTTAAATAAGCTTTTATTATTTTGATGGGATGTAAATGTAAAGATGATGTGATCTTATTGATCCCTGTTACAAAAATCCACAACAAAAAGAATTATTTGGGCAAAAAATGAACATATGCTGGATGCTGATGGAGAGTTTTTTAATATGTCATATTAAATTAAGCGATCTTTTCTGCAAGTTTTGATCCTATGAATTTAATAATAATATAGTGCATGCTCTCCTCGAGCTCCGAGGAAGTCGGAGCGCAGCATGATGGGAGGAACAGTGGAGGCCGTAAGCTTTGCTTTGTGCAGGTGGTCTGATGTACAGCAGCAAAAAGATTATAGAAAGAAATGTCACACAAATATAAATCTTAGAAAAATGTATGAGATAAATGTGGACTAAAACATCCATCCATCCATTTCTGTCACCCTTATCCCCTGCGGGGTCATGAGGGATGCTGTCTGTGGGTCAGAGGCGGGGTCCACCCTGGGCAGGTTGCCTGCCAGTCCATCGCAGGGACTAGAACATGAGTTTAGACAAAATGTTGTTCACATTAACATTATGGCAAAAGCATAAAGTGTTTTATATAGAAAGAGCAGCACAATTTGCTACATGCTCTTCTGGTAAGCCCAGGAAAAGCAGAATTAGGACAGATCTACTGACTACTCTTCATCTTACCTCCAAGGAAATGTGATATTTCCTCATTCCTTCTTGGTATTACCATGAACTACCCATGTTTTTAAACTAAAGAGAGCCCATTGTGAATGTTGAAAAGAGTGTTTTTTTCAATGAACAGCTTAAAAACTTAAAATACATGTTTATTAATCAGCTAATCTTCTAAACGCTTTGTATCTTTTACAGCGTTTCCGTGGGTCATAAAATTATTATTATTAAATTAAGGTCTTAATTGGCATTAAAATTCCTTAAATGTGATTATCGTGACATTTAAAATCCACCCATCCATCCATCCATTTTCATACGCGCTTTATCCCAAGCGGGGTGCTGGTGCTTATCTCCAGCTGTCTAAAGGGCGAGAGGCGGGGTCCAACCTGGACAGGTCGCCAGTCCAGGCATTGAAAATGCTTTATTTAAAATATTTAAAAAAATGCATGTACAAAAACAATTTCGTCAGATATATAATATATCGCAATATATTTAATCGGATCGTAAAGCCATATGTTTGGAAAAGAAGCTTGAGGTATATATATATATATATATATATATATATATATATATATATATATATATACATATATATATATATATATATATATGTATATATATATATGTATATGTATATATGTATATGTATATATGTATATGTATATATGTATATGTATATGTATATATGTATATGTATATATATATATGTATATGTATATGTATATATATATATATATATATATATATATGTATATGTATTTATATTAGTGCTGTCAATCGATTAAATTTTTTTAATCGCGATTAATCGCATCAATGCCTGAGTTAAATCGCAATTAATCGCATTTTAATCGCAAATTTTTTTTCTGATTGAAAATCATTTAAATACTCTCGATGACATACAAAAAATACATACAGGCTAGGTTTGTGCCAATGTTCTTTTTTTTAAATGAGAACAGGTCACAGATACTGATTTATGCCATAGAAACATATGGCAAGAAGATGGGGAAGCATGTAGCAAAAAATTAACAAATATGTAGCCAAAAAAAGGCCCTGAAAACAGGCTGATGTAAAAGACAGTCTTTACAGTTAATACAGTCTTTTGAACAAAGACAAGCATTTTACCCTACTGCTATAAAATGTAGTAGAGTTAACATTAGATGTTAATTAACCAAGGTAATAATGAACAATTTTCAATCAATACATCAAAATCAATAGACCGACATCACTAGATGGAGGTAGTCTATGCTCTAGAAAGTTACTTTTCAGCCTCTTAACAAAAATGAGAACACAAACACAAGCACCCACCCACACACAGACACACCCACCCACACACACACACACACCCACACACACAATACCGACCTGTGGCGTACACAGACAGCAAGAGTGCCGTAGCAGATTCCATTTCACCTCAGTAATCTGTTTTCTCAGCGTATTTCAGGTTGCTACTAGTTACCAGACACTCAACTTGTTTGTTGGTGGTGGGGCTTAAAGAAAAGGCACTAGCGTCACCCAGTGTATGAGCGTCTTTTTCCCTTGAGGAGGTCCGCTCTCGCAGCCTATGAGAAATGCATAGACTGGGGGAAAATTGCCCCGCCTTCCCGCAGGCTGCAGCGGGATGTACTTGGAAAATTTTACCATAAAACCACATAGCGTTAATCTCACGTTAAAAAAAATTATCGCCGTTAAAATGGCCTCGCGTTAACGCGATAATAACGCGATAATTTTGACAGCACTAATATATATATATATATATATATATATATATATATATATATATATATATATATATATATATATATATATATATTAGAGAGTCATTGGTACCTGTTAATGGGTACCTGCTGATTGCATTAAAAATATATTATTTAAAAGCATTAAATTAGAGTTACTCATTCCTGTGTAAACCCTGTTTTAGCCACTAGGGGCACTAACTCTATAACTCTATGCTTGGATCAGCAGATGAAGTGATGGAGTTAGTTGTTAAAGGAATAGTACACCCAAAACATGATTAGCCTTCGTTTTCTACTCACCCCCATGCTGAACAACACTCTGGAGTACTTTTTTGATATCTCAAATGCATCTGGAGATCTGGGAGGCTTCTTGCTGTCTGCTGACATTCAAATAATGGAGGTCTATGGCGCCCGAGGCAGAAAGGTCCATAAAAGTCCACAAAAAAAGTGTCAATATTCCTCCATACTGCTCGTCCAATGTATTCAAAGTGTCCTGAGTGGGTAGCGTCCATAATTTACTCGAAACGAAGTCATTTAGAATGTTTTTAGAGCATAAACAGTAGTGTATAGGATTTCCAGAAAGCGCGCGCCCGCACGTTCACGACGCTACGGAAGCCGGCAGACCAAACCAGATGAAAGTGCGCATTCAGCGTCTGCTCTGCCGATAATGCAAGCGTAGAAGAAGAAATGTGCTGTTTACCTGTGCAAAGAAAGAAACAACGAAAGAAAAATGTCTGAGGACTTCAGTGTTGAGGAAGAGCATGAGTTCTTTGCTGAGCTGAATGCGCACTTTCGTCTGGTTTGGTCTGCCGGCTTCCGTAGCGTCGTGAACGTGCTTTTAGGAAATCCTATACACTACTGTTTATGCTCTAAAAACATTCTAAATAACTTTGTTTCGAGTAAATTATGAACGCTACCCACTCAGGACACTTGGAATACATTGGACGAGCAGTATGGAGGAATATTGACACGTTTTTTGTGGACTTTTATGGACCTTTCTGCCTCGGGCGCCATGGACCTCCATTATTTGAATGTCAGCAGACAGCAAGAAGCCTCCCAGATCTCCAGATGCATTTGAGATATCAAAAAAGTACTCCAGAGTGTTGTTCAGCATGGGGGTGAGTAGAAAATGAAGGCTAATCATGTTTTTGGGTGTACCATTCCTTTAAATCAAGGTGACATTTATCCCGATAGATTAAATCCTACATCAGATTAGACAAAAATATGTCTGATCAGATGTTTTATATCTGTTTGCTTGGCTACCAACAATTTTTAGCTGTTAGCCCTGAGCCCAGAAGGCCTTAAAGCTGCGCTCTGGGTCACATGACTCATTCAGCGAGCGAATGACCCTCTCAAGTTACATAGGTTATTTTTTTTTAACTCATAATTTTATTGTTGTTAAAATTGATGTGCAATGCCATGCAGATTGTAGTGTTGTTACAATTCCTTCGATGACTGTGTACAAGTATAACAAGAGCTACACGGCATTTCAATAGTTTTATATTTTTATAAACCCCATCCAACCTCCGACTAACCCAATGCCAGCAAAGAAAAAGAGATTAAATTAAATAAAATTAAGAGAAAAAAAAGGGGGGATGAGTGTCAGTCCAGAATGTTGGACCCAGAATTCGAGGCGAGACAGGCAGTGGGAAAGTTCAAAGTGTTTATTATAAACAAACAGGTGCGCGGGGCTGCTCGTCTGCTGCGGGGCGGATCTCTGCAGGGATAGGAGAATACAGGTCAGTGACTGGATGTTGAGCTGAATACGACTTGGAGCTAGTCACTGACCTGATTAAAAGTTCAGTCCGTTCACGGAGAACACAGCAGAATCCAGGAGGGAGGTTTGACCGCAGTTGCGGCGGGTGACGCCCCCAGAGTTCCCAGAGAGTGAGCAGAGCGGGCGCCAGCCAACGCCGAGCAGCAACAGAGTCCAGAAGGGAAATCCAAGGCCGAAGTCAGAAAACAGTCCCAGGTTCAGAAGCCGGTGGAATCCAAGATCAGATACGACAAACAGAGCAGACAGGGGCAAGGCAGAACTCGAGATCCTCAGGGCAGAAACTGGTCATTATCAGGAAAACAGACAGACTTCAGAAAGCTAGGAAACGTCTCACAAAAACACACGAATAACCTGGCGCTGATGGGAGGCAAACACACAACTTAAATAGTAGAGGAACCAGGTGAAAATGATCGGCGATAATGAGCCGCAGAACCAATTAGACAGGGGAGCAAGGAGCAAAGGAAAAAACCAAACCATCAGCGCCAAGATCATGACAATGAGATTATTATCCCAAAACGAAAGTACTTTACATTGAGTCTTGTTTAGTAGTGAGAAGGGAGAGTTGCAAGTTTGTCAGAATAACCCAGTAAATGGTCCCATACTTCTACTTTGTAGAATTTTTTGGTTGATCCTTTCAGAAAATATTTCACTTTTTGGATCTTTAAGGAACATCATCATATTGGAAAGTGGTAATCGGGATTTCCATTCTAAAAGTATTCTCCTTTGAGCAATCAGAGTTGCAAAGGCAATAACCTTTTCCTTGCTTGATATCACAGCTTCACTTTACTACATAGGTGAGTTTTTGAGAAGAGCAGCTGGCATGGTCTCTGAATATACAAGCACTTTATATTAACCTGAAAAAATCATTTATATATCTTAAATTAAGCTAATTATTGGGTCAAGAGTTACAGCAATCCTTTGAAAATAGATAACATAATTTTCCTTAAAAGCAAACAATTCATATATATTTGCTAGTTAGTAAACATTTGTTATTTTATATCAGTATTTATGTAATAATGTGATAGAAAAAGTCAAATCTCACATAATGGAACCAAATTTTCACTTTTTCCCTATTTTCAGAACGTGACAGCTAACCATCGCGTGAACGATGCGGTCTTTACGGAGGACGGAGCGCAGATGGTAACGGGCCGCTTCATGTACGGGCCCCTGGACATGGTCACCCTCACCGGCGAGAAGGTGCCGTGAAAAACAGTCAGCCGTGAACGACGGAAACAAGGAATCAATGTGAGATCAAATTAATACAGAGTCAGTGAAACTTTAACCTTTATCTCTCTTTCAGATCGACATCCACATCATGACCCAGCCTCCGTCTGGAGAGTGGGTCTACTTTGATACGCAGCTCACTAACAGCAGCGGACGTGTCTCCTATGTAATCCCAGCAAACAGGAGACTGGGTATTGGGGTGTATCCTGTTAAAATGGTGGTCAGGTTTGTGTTTAATTTGATCTCTTATTTGTGTTTTTGTAAACAGACCTAAAAGTTTTAGTTTGTGAAAAAAAGAAATATATTTTACAAAGAGAGCCCGAATAAAGACAAACTCTAATGATGATTGATCAGATTTTTTTCATTTTATGACAGATTAATTACTTGCTCCAAAAAAAATATATTTCAATAGATATGTGTGACAATATGAAGTAATCTAAAGGTCTGCTTATGCCCCACTCCAAAAATATCAGTATTTTAATTTGGACTCCAGTAAAACGTCTTTAAACATGGAAACAAAGTCCAGTGGATTGTTTTTAATTTTCTTTTTCTGGAATTTAAGGCTTAGCAACAAGAAATAGAAAAGGTATCCATGGGTGAGTTTGCATGACTAGGCTGTATTAATACACTCATCAGTGATAGGTAATATATGGGTATTACTCGTCAGTATTGGCCGATCTTCTTCGTTTAAAGGAAACTGTTGGGTCATGTGACCGTGATAGTGATGTAGCAAGGGATTGTGGGTGAGAAGCAATATCACCACTATGGTCAGTATTTATATGGTTTCAAAATGTATAAAGAATATAATATAGGTAAATATCAGTTATAAAATCATATTCAAACTGACTTTTGTATTTACAAATGTTACATTTGGCTATGCACATATTTTTAAAATGATCTGAAAAATGCAAATGTACCAGAAACCAACCGCTGAAGTATTCTCTACTTCTATCTCCCTGCTGTGTCTCTAACAGAGGCGACCACACCTGTGCAGACAGTTATCTCACTGTTGTGCCCAAAGGCACAGAGTTTGTCGTCTTCAGCATAGACGGCTCATTTGCTGCCAGCGTATCCATAATGGGAAGCGACCCCAAAGTTCGAGCCGGAGCCGTGGATGTGGTGAGGTACAGATAACCACCAGTACGTCGCGTAGAAACGTAACGCAGAGGCTTTTGGGGTAGTTGATGAGTTCACGCCTCGCACTTCTTTTCAGGTTCTGGCAGGATTTGGGCTACTTGATTGTTTACGTCACGGGTCGCCCTGACATGCAGAAGCAGCGCGTGGTGGCCTGGCTGTCCCAGCACAACTTTCCACACGGGATCGTGTCGTTCTGCGACGGGCTCGTTCATGACCCGCTCAGACACAAGGCCAACTTCCTCAAAACGCTCATCAGTGAGGTAAGCGCCACTGGAATGGGTCCTCATCTGTTTCACGAGAGACACCAGTGGGAATTTCAACACCATTTTTTCTGTTGCACTTTAATGCTTGAAATTCATGCTTTTTGAGAACATTTGTATTTAAACAGCCTTGGAAACATAGTGGTGGCAGCATCATGCAGTGGGGATTCTTCATTTCTCCTTAAGAGAAAGCATTTAGAGTTAAACTGCAGAAGGAACTCAATGCTCGCAAACTTTAAAAGTGAAAAAAAGGGGGATGGGACAGGTGCACGGTTCTAAAAAGACAAAGGCCATTTCTCAATATGTGTACTTGTGCGTTCTCGTGTTGTCATGTGCTCGTGAAAAATAATCAGCCTCTGCCCTGTACTGTTCCAATTCACAATAACAGCAAACAGAGAACAGCCTAAGTCTTCGGATGTTGTTCTCGCCCCTCCCTCTTTACCCAGCATGCATCAGAGCAGACTTGTCGGTTCTTGAGATTGACAGCTGTCCCAGCATGCACTGCGGCAGCAGCAGCTTTCAATGGAGCGCTCACAGAGCTCAGAGTATTAAGTTGAAAGTTCTCTTTTCAGTTGCCGTGTTTAACAAAAATACGTTTTAAGATCATTTGAGGCGAGAATATTATACTTTTAAGCAGTGGTGTCAAAAGTACCCACATTTGTTAATTAAGTTGAAGTATAGATACTGCAGTTTAAAAACACTCTGGTAAAAGTTGAACTATCAACTTGACCTCTTTACTCAAGTAAAAGTGAAAAAGTATGTGCTCCAAAAACTACTTAAAGTATAAAAGTATAAAGTAACCTTAAAAAAAAAACAGCCAGATGTCACTATATGAATTGAAATTTAAATTTTTCGAGTATTTGGAAAAATTCTTTGAAATAGGGCCAAGGATGAGGAAGGTCTTGTTGGTCTCCGTCTCCCGATACGCTCTCGCCTGTGTCCGACCTTTCAGACATTTCAACATCTTTTTCTGAATCCGACATTGTAGCATGGCATAGACAATTCACGTTAGCAGTTTGAAGAACACCAGCTTGCTTCTGATCATTTCCTTTAGCTAACCAATGAGTGTTTGCGTTATATGAATCATCCAGTTACACTAGTTTTCACTAGATGTAGATGGAGCCCATGATCTGCATTGGATGGCGCACATAATGTGAAATAAATATTTATAAACATTAAACCAGGGGTAACCAGTTAAAAATCAGTAAGGTACGAATAAGGAAAATCATCAACCAGTAAAGGTCCGGAGACATTTTTAATGATCTGTTACTTTAAACAGAATTTAACACTGAAATAAAATGAGGTTTTTATGCATTCATGTTATACATTAAATTTTGAAATAAAAAAAAAATAAATAAAAAATAGAAATTGCCCAAAATTGCATCCCGTGCTATCTCAGAGGAGTTAACTTTATTCCTGTAGATCCAGCAGTAAATGACAAGATTCAGCAAATGCTAGTTCTGCCTGTAAAACAATGACAGCGTAATCGTCGCTGTACGATCTGAAGCCTCATTTGGAGATTTTAAACAGGCTTTTATACTTTGATAATTTGCTGCTGTAATATTATAGATGTTTTTAGAATAAAAAGCTAGCAGATGTGCATAATAAAAAAATAACAGAAATGCAATGATAGAGCATTCAGTATTATAAGAAAGTCCACACTGTTTCTGAATAAATACATTATTGTATGAGTTCTGTTCCGTTTATGCCTCTTTCCTTGTAAATGTAAATTGTCCCATGCTCCTGAATGCACCATAGGTATCTGACGCCCGTGAATGCATCACACTGGTCAGTGTAGATGCAGGTTTGATTTTTCCACTTTGCAGTTTCCAAACTCATGTAGGCTATCATTGTGTGTAAATAACAATAGACTACAACAAATAAATCAGCCGTACCTCGGACAAAATCTTTGGATTTATTGTTGTTCATAACACCCCTACTGGGGATGCATATCTTGGCAGGGATGCACTTTTCGGCATAACACCGGACTGTGGTCCGCTAATCCGGGACCTCTGCATTAAACCGAAACCAAGAGTAACGAGTAACGTTTTTTAAAATGTAAGGAATAGAAAGTACAGATACTTGTGTGACAATGTAATGAGTAGATCAGAAGTAGGAATAAAAAAATGGAGTAAAGTATAGATACCTAAAAAGTGCACTTAAGTACATTAAGTACTTGTACTTCGTTACTTGACACCTCTGCTTTTAAGCGTCACTTTATGGCAGGTTTACTGATTTAATGCGTAATTTAAAAAAAATGTCTAAGTTGAGACCGTGGCAACCAGCGGACAGCGGCGCCAGGTGTAATCCCACCCCGTCTGCAGCAGCCCTCTCCTGACATAGCTGTGGTTCAAGGGCCGCTGGCTATGACGGCGATATTTTTGTTTTATTTTGCAAAATTTACATTTGATTTGGGTTTATCTGACTGTGTTAATTATTATTCCCCCACTAAATGATAAGATTTTATTATTATCTAGAGACTACATTCTAGTGAATTGAGAAATGCACAAAATCTCTGATGCAGCACTCTGAGAATGTATAGCGTTGAATAATGGCTGAATGAGCTGATGATGGCATGCAGCTTAAACACATTAAATGGCAACGTGGGGCTCTGGAGCCGCATATCAACCTTCCACTGTGGCTCTTCTAACTTCAACTAAAAATGATTGAAACCGATAAGCGATTTAAATTTAGATGCAATAAGTCTGCAGATTCTAAGCATTTTTTTTTTTGGGAGGCTCTGCTTAAAATTATCCTTAACATACATGTGGTTTATTTTTAGCAGTTTTAGTAGAGTCACACTGATTTTCTGGTTAATCACCGATCTTTAAAAAGCCAGACGTGCTGATTCTGATTTTGATTGCTACAGAATTTGTTCATCATACTTGTTAAAAAGGTCACAATACAATGCTTCAATATTTGAATCCTATTTGAGAAATAATAATGGATGAATTATTAATTTTATGTTTTATTTGCAATATCAAATTATCTGGATTATAAATGAAAAGTTTAGAGCAGCAGGAATGGCTCATTTTCAAACATTTATGATAGAGTAGATCAGTAGCTGAGATCAGCTTCACATCTAGATTTTGGCAAATCATTGTTCTCCTAAATTTAAGGAAGCTGGAACCAGTAGATCGACCAGCTGATCAATCGTGAACCTCTATGTCTTTAAGATCTATTCCTCTTGTATTTGAGTTACAAATAATATCCTTTGTTTTGTTCAGTCAGATTAAATATAAGCATCCTCTGGAAGAACAAATGCACTTATTTTAAGAAAAATGGACTTATCCAGACTTCTTTTTTTTCCAGTGTTCAAGCTATTAGTGTTATTGGAATCCAGGACAAGACTTTATTGCCTTTGTAACATTCAAAAAATAGGGATACTTGATGGCAAAAATGTATGTCAATGTAATAAAAAGAAACGCCAACTTGCGTGAATATATTAAGAGGATATATAGCTTATGGGAGGATATACTGTATAGCATATCTATATCTGTATAAGAAGTTCATGAAAAACACTCTGAGAGTAAAAGAAACACTATTATTTTTTGGTACAACATAACCTTAGAGGCATTAATGCTGATACTGACACTTACATTTTTCAGTGTATAAACCTAAATATAATTGTTAACTAGGCTTATTAACTTTTAAACTTTACTTTTTAACTTTTCAATTAGCTTTTTACCTTTTTTTTCTTGACTTGTAACTTTACTTCCAGTAGGTAATATCTCATTCAAGGGTTCATCTAATTGCTCAAAGCCCAAAATAAGATGTACAGACATGAAGCAACATCTTTACTGAATGGCTGGATATAGATCTAGTGCTTTTAGACCTCACTGAGAGACGGAGGGGATTCTATTTGTAAGGGGATGTAAGTGTTTAAAAACGGTAACTTGGCCTATAAAGGGTTGAGAACATCTATGACTTAAACATCGTTCCTTTAAATTAGGTCAACATTTGCTCAGCAGCAAAGATTTACCAACAGATCCCTTTAGTGTTTGCTGCATGAATTAAATAGAAGTTAAGTTTTGGAGTCATATAAGGAGGTTTTTGAATTAATTTTAATGTAACTCTATTTTTTTTTAGGCTCACATGAAGATCTTTGCAGCCTATGGATCCACCAAGGACATCTCTGTGTATTCCGCCCTCGGCCTCCCTCCTTCTCAGATCTACATTGTAGGAAGACCCACGAAAAAGATGCAGCACCAGTGCCAGGTATGCCAGGAACCTGAATATGCCTCCTATAACCTCTAGATTAAATTTGGAAAGATAAGATTCTAAATCCTGTGAAAATCCCAATCGTTGGTGGAAAACTGTTTGTCTTCATAGATCGCATATTTACAGATTTGTCACAAAAATGCTTCTTTAGCCTCACTGTTATGGTAAAGCATGTTGAGAGCTGTCTTACACATTATCTTACTTCTCCAACAGTTCATCCCAGACGGCTACGCGTCCCACCTGTCCCAGCTCGAGTACAACCAAAGGTCTCGACCCGCCAAGTCCACCAGTACCCGCATGGTCCTCCGGAAGGGCAGCTTCGCCCTGGGTTCGGCCGCAGGAGATTTCCTTCGCAAACGCAGCCACATATTTCGCACCATTTCCTCCCAGCCGTCGGGGAACTCGGGATCCAGCTCAGCCAACCAGCAGGTCCGGACTGAGCGCACGCTGAGCCAGTGCGAAGGAGAGCGGGAGCGGTCTGTCGCTGCAGCAGCACAGAGGAGTATGAGTATAGCAGCAGGGTGCTGGGGCCGTGGCAACAAGGAGGGCCCCAAGTAGGGTTAATAGAGGAGGAAAACCAGGACTCGGCCTGAGCCATCATGAACTCTGGACGGAAAGAAGAAAACAGACGGTGGGATCTGGGTGGAATTACGCCAGGAAAAGTGGACTTTCAAAGCCAAGTGGGAGGCAGAGATTAAAACTAATCCGTAGCATGATTCTCTTACTCTCAGACTTTTATAGGAAACATCACTTTTAAAATTAGGATTGAAAACATTGTAAGCCTTAAATGAATCTCGTTCAACGGGACCCCTCCCCCCTCCTCTCTGTAGGACGCTCCGTCCAATCATTGACGCTCATGAGCTCAGGACTGTTTCATCCTCAGTCGAACAAATCTGAGGACAACTTTATTTGGCTCCACCACCTGGGTTCTACCGTTTCAAACAACGCCAACCACCATGGCGGACAGGAGGAAGAAAACATTCTCTGAATCCAAAAGCAAAACAGAAATAAAAAAAAAGCAGATAGTTTTGGTTTATCTTGTTAAAATAAGTGAAGAACAAAAAGATTCTTCCAACACTGTTCCTCATTTTTACACCTATGGAAGGAAGAACATCTTAGGCAAAAATAAACATCTTATACTATGGCTTTATTTTTGAGGGCAGATTGAAGAAACGGTTTCTTCTCATTCTTTTAGTCGTTTAGAAATTTTTCAAAGGCTCTTTATGCCGTTAGAGAGCAGCAGTCATTTCTTTCCACAGGTTTTAAGTTAAACACAGCATCTGTAGAAGTTTATATTTAAAACAAAAGCTAGAAATGTTCCTAGAGTTGTGGTTGGGAAATTCTGTGGAGACCCAAAATCCAGAATTTGGCCGCATGGACCTTGCTAATACATCAAGCGTAAACTAAGCTTAATTCACCTGCAAAAAAAATCAAAAATAAAATACCGCATGTGATCCCTTATTCTTTTGTTTCCAACTTTAACTTCCCCCTCAGGCGGTTAGGAAATATCAACAGAAAAGCTGCACCTTCATATAAGCTGCATGGTTCAAAGCGTGGGGAAAAAAGTAGCGGCTTATAGTCTGGAAAATACGGTAATTATGATAACTGTTGTGTGCGTCATATTCTGAAGATGGTATTTACCTTTTGATCCAAAAGAAATAAATGAGTCACCTTAAGTGCCTTCTAAACTCCGTGCTTTGAAGATTCCAACCCCTATTACAAAATCCAATATGGCTGCCTAAGTAAACCATTTACTGCATTGGAGTAACTAGATCTGCCCCGCAAAATTCAAAAATCTACATTGTTGCTAATCCACAAAAAAAAAACCCCCGTCTAAACTAGATTGTCAAATTTCAGTGTAGTTTTAACACATGTTAGAAATGTTAACATTTATTTAAAAACGGATTTAACCTGAGTGTTGAATTGTATTCTAATTGGTGTTTATTTCTCTCCTGCGTCAATCAACTATGATGAAGGCAAAGCAGAACATGAACCAGTTTTCACACATAAGTTAGATTTTCTCTGTCAATAAAATTCAACAGACAATCCACTTTAGTTGGAATTTCCTCTGGGGAAATTTTAAGATTTCAGACCTGAACTATAAAATCCAATATGGCTGCCAGCCTTTAAAAAGAAGAGATAGCCACAAAATAAACGGTTGGATGGATTGCCATAAAATCTGCCTTAAAAGTCACATTTTTTATGTTCTGTTTCCCTATATAAACAAAAAGCTGCTCATTTGTGTTTTTATTTGCTAGCAGTTTAAAAGATCATATCAAACCAGCTGGAATTTACCTTTAAAGCTGGAATTGGAAAACATCAAATAAGCTACTGAGTTAAATTGGTGTCTGTATTTTGTCTATTAACCAACTTTTAGTAGTGAAGGCGTTGCCAAAATTTGAACATCCGAAATGCTAAATGTTGCTTGTATTACTGTTGCGATAGTCCAGCCACTCTGCATGTTGGCCAATTCCGTCGCTTTCCAATGGCTGATTAAAATAGGTTCAATCTCATTCCCAGATCCAGGTCTGATCAAATGTAAAACCAAAGCTGTCTGCTTTTATCTAACTTAGAGGAAGTCTATAATTGGAATTAGTGATTGCTTTAATACGGTGTTTGGTTTGTGAATTGTGTTGCATAATGTAGAGAAGCCCCTCCTGTCCCAGTCACAAAACAGGGTTGTTTGTAATCTTCTGTTGTTCTTTTGTAATGTTCAGTGCATTGCAGAAGAGCAGGAGTCTTTATTCCACCCAGTGTGGGGGACCTTCTGTGGTATGTTTCCTTTCTGTGTGGCCTCTTGGCCATCAAGGCCTTAATATCCCACAAGATATTGACTCTACAGAGAGAACGGAAAACAGAAAAAACTAACAAACAGGGCATGCAGCATTAAAGCAACAACTGAACTCTGCACAGTCCACAGCAACTATCCCTTTATATAATCATCTGCTTGCAATACCTCGATCCACCTGCTGGTGGCGTTGTGCGCTCTGCTGCTGCAGCCGGGGATCGACTAGGTGGTGTTTCTAGGATCTGTGCTCCTGGCCTTTCTACAAAAACCATACATGATGGACCAGTTGCTGCTTTTACTGGAACACGACTCAAGGTCTGTACCAAAACGTCCGAAATGAGCGGAAATTAACGACTGGATGGATGAATGTTAAGGTTGGGAGAATGCTCTCCTTCACCAAGATGGCATACTATGGTTTTTGCTGCTTTTTTCTACAAAATTGTAGATTTTCATGAAAAATGGATACTGGTAAAGAAGACGCCTCACGTCTTATCAAGGAACTCAGAGTGGGTCAAACAGATGATCTCTGATGAATGAAAGGAACGGTCTGTATGTTGTTAGTTGTAGAACAACTGTCTGGTCCTCCCTGGGACAGACGCTCATCTTATTTTGAAAGGGAAAGACTTTAGAAGCAAATGCCATCCACTTTAAGTGAAAAAGAAATGCCTCAGCAGAGTCAAAGTTTAAATTCAATTCATTTCAGTTTATTTCCAGTTAGTTTTAATCCTGAAGCGTATTAAAAAGATGTCAGAGAGGACAGGGTTTGAGGAAATACTGTTATTTCTTTACATTCAATGCCGTATGTCAGCACAAGATCTAAAGTATGAAGACAAGAATGTGTGAGACAATCACATTTTGAACAAAGCCAATACTAACACTTAAGCTATCACATTCAATGTCAGCATGGATGTTAAAATCCCTCACTATGACGACCCTGTCAGTGTTTAACACCAAATCAGATAGGAAAACTCTTCTAAAAATTAGAGTAAGTATCTGGTGGACGATACAAAGTAGTAAGTTTTGTGGCTTTGCAATTTGGAGGTAGGAAACTAAGGGTTAAATGTTCAAAAGAGTTGTAGTTTTTAACTGGCTTTGGAGTAATCAGTTATGCTACGTTCACATCGGACGCAGCAAAAGCAGCAAAATCGTGTCTGCTGCTTCCTTTTTGCTGCTTGTACCAGTTAGTTCTGACGCGTGGCTGAAGCATCTTTGCTGCTCTGGCTGCGCGGTGCAAAAGTGGCTCTGACCCGCGTTGGGCGGAGCTACTCTATCCTTTTCTCTGCCTTGCAGATATATTTGCTGTGATCAGTGGGAATAAAGTAGTTTTAATATGTTTTTAAGTGAGAAAATACACCTGAAAACGTAATCAGTGCCGTCAGTTCATTCAGATTACAATCCTGCCTCCCAATGTTATTTCTGTCGGAGCTGCTCAGACCCCCACATACCAGCGGTGCGCTGACAGAAGCAATCCCTTCAACAGCAGCCTCTGGCCGGGTCGCCTCCTCGCGGTTCACCGCAGCAGCTGGTAGGTGTTTTTCATCTAAATAATCCGATCTGCAGGCACCAGAATAATAAAAGCGAACATATTCTGCCGGCAGATGTATTCATTTTAAGTTAATTATGCGTTAATAAACTGTTTAAGAGGAGTGATCAGAGCGGTCTGTGTCATCAGCGCTGTGTCTCTCTCCCAGCCAGCTCCCAGATCAGCTTCTCTGATTGGTTGACGCGGCGCGTCGAGCAGCAAAAATTCAGATTAAACACGCCCGACACGCTGCTTCAGCTGCTCAGACGTGCCGCGCCTGCTGCTCAAAACGCGCCGCGGGACCTTTTGCTGCGCATTGACGCGCGTCAACCATTGACTCTGCATGTAAACTCGCTGCTTCTGTCGCGCCAGCTGCGTCCGGTGTGAACGCAGCATTAGTCAAACTGAAAGATTGTTGCTACTCCTCCTCCTCACCCAGAATATCTGGGTATGTAAATATTTAAATAACTAGAAGGAGTTGCCTCATTGACGCTTATATAATCCTCTTGCTGCAGCCAAGTTTCTGTACGGCAACATAAATCAATGTGATTATCACAAATCAAGTCATTAACTAGCAGACTTTTTCAAGAAAGAGATCTTATGATAAATAAATCACATTTAATTGTTTTAAAATGTTCCCTGATTGGAGTTATTTTTATTAGATTATCATGATTTACTCCTTTGAGAATCTTTTCTAATTTATTTGATTTTGATTGTGGGCAAGATACTGTCTGGATGGAGTAAAGAGTGGAAGCTGATATTTCCAGACTGAACACATTTTAGAAAAAAAAAAATTTACTAATTCATTCTTCAAAAAAGTAATACAGAGTTTTAATTGCCCTAAATTCTAGCAGGTAAATAAGATCATCAACCGATGGAATGAGTACTTTAAACAAAATAATTAGAGATGATGTGCTTGAAAGCAGATAATAGAACCATTTTTCCTACTTTAAACATAAATCATTGTATAAAATTGGCAAATTTTCTTGCATACCTGCTGCAGTCAAGAGAAAAATACAGCTATTTCAGTTTTTTGTACTTCAGTTTTTGCAGTTCGGAAACGTTTGGGATCCTTCTAACCCACTGCAAAAAAACGATTTTTAAATATGTTTAAAAAATCTTGAAATAGGAGTATTTTCTCTTAATTTGAGCAGGTAAATATGATGATCTACCAATTGAAATAGGTATTTTTTTACAGCAACAGTTTGGAAAAGTTTGCGATCCTACTTACCCACCACAAAAAGCTGATCTAAATATAAGTATAAGCCCTAAATTAGAGCAGGTAAATAAGATGGTCTACCAATGGAATGAGTGCTTTTGCCCCCACAAAAGTTAATTGGTTGTTATGCACTTGAAATAATTATTTTTTTAAATAATGTTATTACCTGCTCAATAAAAGAGAGAAAATATTTGTTTTTCAGAAAAAAAGGCTGACTGATATTTAATCATTTTCAGTGTAGAGCAGAATGCACAGAAACAAGTTGGAGAGGGGGGGTTGCATACATCTCCCTACAGCCCACAAAACATTTGTATTCTTTCCTTTAGTTATAAATTGATGGGACAATAGGTGGTTCAAAAACCGTACTTCACCAAAACCTTGAAACCAGTAAGTGTCCATGAAATTTGGGTTTAGTGGGAAACTCAAAGTTAAGGTTGGAAAAAAACTAAGAGGGAATTAGGAAAACTTCCACATTTATTTTATACCAGACTCTGCTGTAGGCCATCATGAAGTATGGAGTTAACTTTGCTCCCTGATTGTTGACAGCAACGAGCATGTTTTGTGAATGCAAATTTAAACACAATGCAGTCGAGAAATGAAATATTTCAAAAGACTTTATTTTTTTTATTAATATAAATAATGTCATATTATTTTTTTGCCATGTTTTTGTCAGGTTGTGTGGAGGCTTTGAGGACCCAAATGCACAGAGGAGTAGACACAAACGGAGGCAAAAATACTGAAAACCAAACAAAAACAAATAAACGTCAGGGAAAATACACAAAGGAAGCAAGAGACTAGAAAGCAATGACAAAATGTCAACAACACAAGAAACCAGCACTGAGTGAAGGCTCTGCTGCTCTTCTAATCTCAGCACTCAGATGAGAAAGATTCT